GTTCTGGAATTGGTCGCATGTTCTATTCTGCACGTAGGTTTACATCAAGTAATCTTGGCCGCTCGCAGCAGTGCACACACACACACACACAACTTGCGCTTTGCTGAGCTCATGCTACTCAAAGGCCCAGTCGGGGCGGTTTCCGAAATTCGGAGTACCTTATTGAGGGCTTTCTTGTAAGGGAACCCTGCAAACCTGCTATTTAGGCCTCATTTTCGTACAGTCCCTGATCGGCCTCCCAGTGGCACTGCAGTGCTGGATGGTACAGGCACATGCCGGCCACCTGGGATTGACAACTCGAAGAGCCCTAAGAGCCCAATTTACCCCTTAGTTACGGGAATCTACCTGAAATCATACTAGGGGTCCCTACACGGTTTAAGGAGTATTCCTCAATCAAGGGGTACTGGGCTCTCTGGGAAGAAGGGTCCTCTCAGGTGTCCTCCCAAGGCCGCCTTAAGACAGCTAACTCAAGGTCGGCCACGGCACAGTTCGCCAGAGTGTCTGCATTCGCATGGATGCCCACGCACTGATCCTGCTCCATTGCTGGTCTGTGTACCTCGGCAAAGGAAGCAGCTTCAACGCCAGCTCCTGCACAAACGACTTTGCCAGAGTGGAATCCATATGGATACGAAGGTTGGAGCAGCATGTGGGGACTGTGGCAGAGTGAAAGGGAGGCAGGTTCTGGCCAGTTCTCTTGCTGTGACGCGCATCTGAAACTTCTGGTGCGTGTAACAGTGAACCATGGTAGCTGTTCGTCGCGTAGCGATTCTCCAACCAATCCCGAGAACCCAGCACCTCCCGCCCTGATGCAGGGCTGAGCTGTTTTTGACACACACACACACACACACACACACACACACACACACACATATATATATATATATACATACATATATATATATATAATATGTGTGTGTATGTATATATGGTTACATTGCATGGTGACATTGCTGCACAATGCTGCCATGTCGCTCTTCCCACTGACTTCCAGCAACGGGCCAGCCAGTCTCACCCCACTTCACCTACAACGCATGCGAGTGCTTCCCAGACAAGAGACGACCTTAAGGTTCAGGGTTTAGGGTTTAGGGCTAGGGTTTAGTGTTTAGGGTTTAGGGTTCAGGGTGGGGTTTGGGGTTTACAACCTTATAGGCATCCCGCCCACAAGGCTACACACGCCAACGTTCTCCAATCCTCCTGCCCGGATCTGCCCGGCCTGCATCCTGTTGGAGAAGGTTAGAAACTCCTCCTCGTACTTTGCTGCAAGCCTCAGGCTTTGAGGGTGGGCCAAAGAGGAGATACTCCAAGACGGCGTAAAGACGTGGACCGCGGAACACATCTACAAGTCCCCCTTCGCAACGCCAAGCAATGCAAAAACCGATCTTGACCATGCATATATACACATATGTACACACATATGTATATGTATATGTATATATATATATATATATATATATATATATATATATATATATACGTGCATCCGCGCCGTCGAGCTGTGCATGTCGAAGATTGACGTCAAGTAGCCAGTCCATGAGTGGGACCGTCTCCTCCCGGCCCTGGAAGAGCTCCTTCTTCAGCATGAGGATGGACTCCCCATAGTGGGGGATGCAAACTGTAAGCCCCGGAAAGAAGGGAGCGCGGAAAGGGCGGGGTACCGGGAGGCCCAAGCCCCTGGAAAGGGCCAAAATCCGCCACTGGACATCCGGGTTGTTGGGCCAATGCGGGTCGTGCATACAGCAATAGGTCTTGAATCCCACCTCAAATGCCGTCTTCTCCCGGAAGATGTCGGGCACCTTCACCTTACGCCTGGGCTTCGGCGGCGGCTTTTCACGGACAGTTGTCGCCGCGTAGCTGCCCGTCATGAAGTCTGCCTCCTCGGGAGGAGACGTATCCGGAGGAGGCGGCTCCGGAGCATCGGGAGGGTCCACCGAGGATGTGACCACTTCACGACTCCGCCGCTTGGCCAAAGGTTGCCGCAGTTGCTTCCAATAGACTTGGTGCCCGGATTCCCCGGACTTGAAGGACAAGTCTCCCATCAAATGGTTGTCGATCTTGTCCTCATAACGCATGTACTCCAAGATCCTGTCCCAGATGGCCGGGAAGAAAGGAGAGAACTGCGCCACCTGCTCCCCCGACGCCGATCGCCCGTCAGAGCCGGCAAAGGAGTAGGGCAGGACCTGCTGAGGGACACAGAGAGACTGCGTTTACAGCAAGCACGGCAACTTTTTCAGCAACACGACGTGAACCCCCTAGTCGCTCTAGCCCCTTGAGTGGACTCTACCGGTGGAGTCGTAGCAGTCGGCAACCTCGCGAAGGAGACATCGACAGGCCTTGCGGGAGAAACGCTCTGGCAGCTTCGCCACGGAGTCCTGTGCCAAAGCCGTCTGCGATGGCCCTAGCAGTGCGATACAGTGCCATGCTGCTCAGCCGAACGATATACTTTGGGATGCTCCCCCTTATGCTAACAGTCCTTACTAGGGATTATCACCGGGTAGGGGGGGGGGCACTAGAATCCCTATAGGAGCATAATGGAAAACATCCCAACCTCCATACTGCCCTATGTCCTCGAGCACCCAACTCACGATTCGGCAGCCGCGCTGGACGAAGACAGTGGCCACACCCAAGACGGAGCACCTTCTCAAAGCGGAGTCAGCCGTATAGGGTTTAGGGTTTAGGGTTTAGGGTTTAGGGTTTAGGGCTTAGGGAAGCACACATGCCGACAAGGCACATCAGGGTGAACCACAACTGCGTATCCGAGATGAAGAGCACAAGCGTGGTAAACCACAGCACAAACCACAAGAGAAAGTCGGATCCCCACTCGGTGCTGTAGTAGATCTCGGACAGTTCGGATACAGATTCCCGGCCTGGAAGGGCTATCTGCAGAGCAACTGTTGCCTCGTACATGGCCCGGAAGATGATCAGGCCCAGCATAAACTTCACCGTGAAGACCAGGATCCAGAACAAGTATCGCACGAAGCGGATGTAGCACGGGACCGGCGTTAGGTCCCACATCTTGTCTGAGTTGCTACCACAGCTCCGCAAGCAGCAGCCCGAAGGGACCAGCAGCAAGTAGGTCAGCCCCGTGCCCGAGAGGGCAAAGTGGAGAACAAGAAGGGGCACCAGTGGCAGCCCGAACTGACTCTCGTCGCCTAGGGCTGCATCTCGAATGGCAGCATAGGTGACGATTGGCATCATCCTCAGCCAGAGAAATGCCCTAGGCCCAAGCACGTCATTGGTCATGTGCCTTTTGTGCGCTATTCCCATCTGAGGCGGATGCCACCACAATGTTTTCCAAATGCCTTGGCTTCGACAGCAAACGAGGCACATGACTCGGACTGCTACACAACCCCTAGTGTACAAGAAGCTCGTCATATGCAGGGTTTAGGGTTTAGGGTTTAGGGCTTACAGTTGGAGCCGGGCTGCTACGGCCGATGCAGGCCAGGGGTGCTTGCATCCTCAGGATGCGACCCGTCACTTGCCACCGGGCACAGGCCCAGAGCAGCGCGTGCACTGGCACCACCAGCCTTTTGGGGACCCAAAGGAACCCTGAAAGGGTTCTTATGGTTTCATACATCTGAATTCTACAAGGGTTTAGGGTTCATATACCTGAATTGGGTCATACACCTGAATTCAGAGGAATGATAGTAGTAGAGGGGTTTTTCTGACCCCAATTGTAGGGTTCTTCTTGGTCCCCAAGGAGCGCGACGGCGGCGAAACGCACCGGCGTGCTTTGCCCAAGCAGCGGCGCCTTCCCATCGTCAGATGGCTCCGGGTCGCCCGCCACGGCGCCTTCAGGCAACTTTGGGCAAAGAATGGAGCACCGGACCAGAGGTAGAGGTTCGCAAAAAAAAGGCCGGCAAAAGTTACCAAGGGCGTCCTAGTGGCAGACTCCTGTGAAGAACAAGATGAGGTGCAGCAGCACCACCCTATGCGTAGCAGCAAAGACACCCCAGAGCGAATGAATCTCTCTGTGTGTCTTGGTTTCGGCCGCTTCGAGCGTCACCTGACCCACGACACGCGACAACATGAACAAACACCTCATCTTCAGCTCCAAGGACCAGAACTGAACTAGATATCCGAGGAGCGTTGAGGAGTTCACCCTTTTTCAACGAGGGCTCTCTCAAGAGGAGTTTACCCTAAACCCTCAACCCTCAACCCTCAACCCTAAACCCTTCCTAAACCTGCGCCTGCCAGTCCACTCGGGGAAGGGCGAGGAAGCGACGCTCATGCTGCAGGTCAAAGAGCCGGGTGCCATCCTCTACGATTTGCTTAAGAACCCCAAAACAATGTCAAACATTCTTCTTCACAAGGGTAATATGGGGATTTCTCTTTGCTTACGAACCCCACAAAAACGTAAAATGTTCGCCCTTATCACAAGGGCAAGATGGGGATCATCATCTTCACTTGTCTTTTTTTTGGGTTCTTAAGCAACTGGTAAGTCCTGCAGCAGCAGACCTTCCACCATGCGGCTCGGGTCGCAGAAGAACTCGTTCCAATCCTCAGAGTGGTAAGTGGAATTTTATACTCGTTAAGCAATAGAGTTGTATACCGCCTTATACAGAATACTGCTGTCTTTATATATAATACTACTGTCTTTTTTCATAAGAACAGACGGACGAGTCACATAATGGCACCATGAGGGGCAAAACGGCCCAGACAAAAAAAAAAAAACAAAAAACTCTCGATCAAGTCCAGGCGCATCATAGTTTGCCACCTCGGCCGGGAGGTTTCCAGAAACAAAATTTCCTGCTAGACAAACCTCAAAGGACTGAAGGAGGGCCCTTCTTAGGGACCTTAGGGGCAATAAATGAGTTAGGGAGGGCCTTGCCCAGAACACTTTACCACACAGAACTTATGCAATTTTAAGGTGTTGCAACTCCCAAAATGGGCAAAGCAGGGTTTATTCAATTTATGGTACATGGTATGGTAGTAAGGTTTAGCCTTCAATGATACTTTGACCTTAGTAATAAATATGATTGGTGCATTCTTCCATATTGCCGATCCTGTCTTGCGCCAGTATCTTCTATTTGTTTCACATCATTCTGGTGGGCTTGTGACGTTTCAGGTTTGTGGATTACTGATATGCTCTTGATTTTTCCTGTATGTGCATTTGTTCTTTCTGCTACTTTATCGTTGCGTCGATCTTGGTATCTTATTTCCGTTGCTCTACAGGTATTACATGTCTTGTATCCTGCTTCAAAGTGTTCAATTTTGGGATGCGGGGTCAAGGCCAGTGTCACTGAGGCGGCGACATCGGGTAGGAGAAAATTGTCCAGCCCTGGCTTCAGCTTCTTCTTGTCCTTCTGGGAGTTCTGGTCGATGTCAACATACTGGTACCTTGGCGTTTTTTTTTTTTTTTTTTTTTTGCGGGGTTTGCCTACCACACAGGCCGACTGCGAACTTCCCAGCCGATGTCAGGCAGGACCGAAACCGAGCAGGATGCCATTCATCGAAGACCACATTGTAGATCGGGCGGATGATCTTGCTCAGAAAAAAGTTGCTCCTAAACGGAGCACCTGGCAAGCTGGGTTCCGGCGTCGGTGCCCCATAGACCTCTTCAAAGTCCGCGGGGTTCGCCGCCAAGGCAAGCTCTGTGATAAAGTAGACTGCCTGTTGGCGAAGGCCAATGTAAGCTTGAGCACCGGCCCAACACCCCCCTCCTGCATGCCGCTTCCTAGACACGGCATGCCCTCTGATCAACATGACTACACATTGATAGAAAGATACAATTGCAGGGACAATCAGGATCTGTGCCTCCGGCATGAACCGCACATTGCCGGCTTCACCCCAAACCAGCAAGTAGACGGCCATCTCCGTCAACTGCCGTGACAAGACGGCCGCTGTGGCCGCATCGAGCCCATCCTTGTGCAGCGGCTCCCACTTGGCCCCACCAACAGGACGCGGCCTCAAACTGGGACGTGTTGCATGCAACGATCTCGCACAGGCGAGACATGTGCGGGAATGAATGGCCGCACACCAAGCACATGTGTTGCTAGTTGGTGCCGTGGCTATCTGTTACAGGACGTTCACAAAAAGCATCAAAAAGCACAGCAACACCGTGGTGTGCTTTCGGCCCTTGACAGGCGACGTCTGAAACATCGCATCTTAGTAATACAGGCCTCTGGGAACAATTCCCTGGTAACTTTCAAAACCGGCATGTGTATGTTTCCCATAAAGATCAACCGCATGATTGTTATAAACTGAGTGGCTGGTCACCCGACAGTGTGGGTACAGCAGCAGGCTCGTGGTCAGCCAGCTTCGCCCGCCAGCGGAGAAATCCATCCATCATCTCGTAGTACAGCTCCGCCACTGCCTCTCAAGGAACCCCTCCGGCGCACATCGCATTCCTAGAACACATGCCGGTATTGTTGCATGGTTGCAGCTTGTTGCAGAACTGTTGCCCTTTCAAACCCCGGCCTCTTGCAGCATGAGTCCCTCGTTGATGGATGCGCCCTCGCCCATCGAGCGGTCAGCGACCATGGCGCACTGGGAGCGCCAGAGTGACAATAAGTGCTCGTATTGGTTGCGGACGCTGTCGACCTGGAAGTCAAAAGCCTCTTTCAAGGACCCGAAGAGGCTCGAGGTCGAATTGGCAAACTCCGCCGCGCCCGGCAAGACTCGGAGGCAGTGGCGCTCGGTCCACTCCACCTCGAGCTGCTGCTTCAGCTCGCTGCGACATGACACCCGAGGCGTGCGAGAGCCAGGTCTGCTGATGAACGCCTCGTCACCTTTGCAGGCAAGTCGCAAGTTTCGGAGAGGCCGGAGATAGGGTTGCGTTAAGACATTAACAGAATATTGGCGTGCATATCATCACATTACATCACTATTCAGGAAAGCATGACCCAGGAAGTATGCTCATGTCAGCCGCAAGACGTTCTGTCATTTGCTCCGGCTCCTTTGTCGGCTGCGGCAGGATCCAAGATGACACAACGGAAATCGTAAATAAGATGGCCAAGCACACCACTGGCACCAGCAAAGCGACCTTGTCACATTCGAAACAAAGCCACACTGGGAAGGCGGGATACCCCACGGATCCCTACAGTATAGGGAGGCTTCCAAGAAAGGCCAGAAAAGGTATTAAGCAGCCACCTTCAAATCTGAGCCTGAACCACCTGACTCCCCCACAAGTCGACAAGCAGGCAAGCCTCTGAACTGTTGAATGTTGCCCCTGCCCCCCCTCCCCCTACCCCGCCCCCACCCGCCAACCCAATGATAGAATCAAGAGCCAAGACTGCCAAGAGCCTGGCGCCCTAGCTTTCCTGACTTGGCCGGGCAGCCGTTGAAGCGGACCAGCTCGTGTCAATGCAGAAGGGCGGGCCCGGCAAAGTGCAGCACTTCCGGCCCTGCAGCATCACCGAGCCCCACCTGTGCAAAGAGTGGAGAGAGCAGGGCTTCCTAGGAAGCCAAGAGCTGAACCTAACTGAAGCAACTGGGTTTAGGGCTTTTTGGGGAATTCGGAAGCTGGTTTTTAAAACTTTAGAAGCGCATGTGCGACTCTCTGTAGGCAAGCAGCGCGTTGACTGCGAGGTTGGTGGCTTCCATCATCCTCTCCCTGGTCTCATTGTCGCTCAGCCTCCATATCGCCGCCTCTGTTTCCTCTAGCAACCTCAGCCCGACTGATTTGATTCATGGCATGAAGAAGTGTCAAATACACCGCTCCTTTTAAGCCGCCCTCAGAGGAAGCGCAAGAGGATGAATGCAACAGGAGCCTCCGAGGCGTGCAGCCGAAGGGAGCCTGACATGCGCCCAAGCCACGTTGTCGCGTTTCTGCACGCGTCGGAGGCCAAAGAGCCCTTCTCCAGCCAATGCCTCAAGGAGGGCACAGGAACAAGCTGACGCAAGAAGACAAGGAGCTTTGTGTGCCCCAAGCGCAGGAAGGGGACAGGCTGTCTATGTCGTACTGGTCGCCCAGCAGCATGATCAAGCCTGCACAGCTGGCATAAATTGATAGAACATGGGTGGCACCTGGCTGTGCAAAACACACACCTGGCTGCTTTAAAGGATTTTAAAGGTGTCCCCCATGGCCTCTGTCAAGCTCCGATTGTTCAGGGCCCAATGCCTCAAAATCCCGGACGGATTTGCTGACCTGGGAGGCTCCAGACATGCAACAGTATGGGCTTTCTCAAGTTCTGAAAGCACATCCCAAAACACCCCGCCTTGTCGCAGTTCATCTGGATTAACCGCTTCAGGCTGTCTCGAGAATAAGACTCTGGAACACTGCACCTCAGCTTCAGAAGCCCCGCTGCGCGGAAAAAAACACACCGCTATGCCATCCAAGACAGCCACAATCGCAAGCTTCCCGTCCGAGGCGCACGAAACTGGCCTCGAAAGCAAGGGCCTGCGCTTTGGCGGCCAGCACGGCCATGTAGAGAACCCGCACGGAAGTGGCCTGGGCACCAGGGCACCAGGGCCCTGGGGCCAACTTGGAATGCAACGAATGCCCGGAGAAGGCCCCTGCCGGACTGTGCAGCAAAGGGAAAAAACTGAAACACGAGCCTCAACCCTCTTGGAAACTTCAGCCACTTGAGGACCTTTTAAAGAGCTTCAAGTGCAACCCAATGGACGTTCACAACATAGGAGCTTCCCCTAGTTCCCTGGAGGCAGGTCTTGACGATTCCTCAGAACATGTTTATGATTAATATACAAAAAAGACTTGGGCAGCTGCCATGTTAGCCTGCAGGTGTGCACTTTTGGCACCACCCACCTTCCTATCCTGCACATCTCGAGAGCCGAAAGAGCCCGTGTCAGTCAGGTCCTTAGTGATGAGCTGATGCACTCAAAGCCTTCAAAGGCCCGGCGGCACAAGGTTGTGGCGCGCCCTTGCGACTTTTCGCCCATGGAAACTGGAACTCTCCGCATCCCCCAAGCTGCGATCTCACTGCTGCGCCCCTTTCCGCCGATTCTCGATGAAGGTCTCGCCTGTGAAGTGCAACAGGCACAGACTCCGCCGAAGCGCCGCTGCTCCCTGAAAAGACGACCCGCCATACAAGCCGAGGCAGCGGCGAAGCTTGTGCACCGTCTTGTTAGCAATTTCATTGATGACCTCAAAGGGAAAGATCCGGCAAAAAAACAAAGACTGCACAATTCCTTCTACGAGATGCTGCAGATGCCAGGCGCTTGACTGAGTCTGGTTGGTTCTTGAGCTTGGGCTGTTTTCGAAGCACCTGAACACAACTCAGGTGCTCTCAGCCACCCGACAAACACCCTCCTTGAGCAGCCGGCATGTGTTGCGATGGCGCTTGCCAGCCCACTGTCCTTGCGCTGGATCCTGAGAAAGGATGGGAACTGCGGAATCGCCCCCGGCACACTGTCGGGCCTCTTTTCTTTTTTTTTTGGGGGGGGGGGGGGGGGCTTGGGGATTTCGACCCCTCACGCTCGCGCGCACAGGCGCGATAACCCTCGATGGACGAACTTTAGGCATGTTTGTGGGCTGAAATGGGTGTTTTCCTATTAGTCTTACGCTGTTCTTGGTGTTCAACTGGGCCATGATGCTGCCATGTCGCAGGTCCCACTGGTTGCTGGTGCTGTAGAAATTTCGCATGATCGTGACCTGAGAAGGAATCAGGAATGGAACTCGGAAGCCACCAGGGCGGGGGCGTCACGCGCAAGGCGGCAGCCTGCAGGGAGCAGGGCAGAGTTTGAAACCTTCGGGTCGCGGCCGAGGTGTCCAGCGACACGGCGTAGTGCCACCAACCCTTGGGCGCCACGATCGTTTCGCCCCGCTCGACCACGGCCATGTAAGGCGTGGCACGCCGCGCATCCTGGCATCCGGTAGAGGAAAGACGTAAGAAATTAGGGTTTAGGGCTTAGGGTTTATAACATGCTCAGCACGCAGCGCGTCCCGAGGAGTTGTGGGGACCTCCCTGGGCGCTCTCTACAAACGTGCGCAAGGATCCGGCCACTTCTGGAAGACCTCCGGGTCCAAGGGATCCAGCCTAGGGCTCAAGTCTCCCTTATAAGTGCTCTGGGGACACGTTGGATTCCTGAAACCCGGCGTCTTTTCCGAGTGGCCATGAGCCGTTCATGAGGCTTTCGTCGCCTTCGAAGGGATGTAGATGCTGCCCATCCTGGGCGCATACCCGACAGACCGGAGCACTCGTGCGAGCATCGAGCTGCGAACCCAGGCATGGATGTTCCAAGGGCATCAGGAAGCCCCCCCCCCCAAACCAAGGGGCCTTGCGTGAAGAGCCCCCCCCCCTCTTTTCACAAGCTCTTCTCTGGGAAATTGGGAAATGGCAGAGTTCCCAAGCCGACATGTGGCCGAGAACTGCCCTCTTTGCCCTGCCTATGTACATTGGCTCTCTTGCAAGCCACAAGGGGTCGGATGCACCCGAAGAATACCCCTAAATCCCCCTAAGCTTCCCTAAGACTGTGCCGAGTTCACTTCCGGCCTCAAGATCATGACGCCTGCACGCGCAGAGTCTTCAACGGCCGCAGGAGGGCCCAGAAAGAGGTCTGCAGCACCAGCTTTGCCTTCAAGGGCCAGGCCATGTAGCTCCAAGCGTCCCGGCGCTCCTCGTTGAGGATACCCAAGGCCTCATTTGGCTCCTGCTTCGTGTGCGCAAGAAGAAGACCCAGACCCCACCAATCACCATTGCGCGCACAGAAATGCAGAGGCGTGTCTCCTCAGCACGGAACCAGCGATGGCTTGGCTTTGAGCACTCTCTTTCACTACACGACTTAAGACTCTGCTCCAAGTCTGCTTGTAAAGCCTGCTATGAAAAGTCTGCTGAGTGCTGCACCATTGATGTCCTGGGCCGTGGGATCCGCACCAAAGCTGACCAAGAGCTGCATGATCTCTCGCTGCTGCACCTGCTGCTGCTCCGAGGATCCAGCACCCTCGGGGCTGTTGATGGCCCGGGTCAGTAGCCTGGAAGCTATGTGAAGTGACGTCTCGTACCTCGACCGCGCTGGCTCAAACTCCGCGGGGATCCTCACTTCACCCGTGCAGAGGTCGGGATCCACCCGGTGTTCCAGTAGACGGCGCAGGCACTCGGGGTGCCCGAAGCCTACAGCTTTGTGCAGCGGCGTCAGCCCGGCGACGTCATAGGTCGGAACCACAATCCCGTCGGTCTCAAGCAGCCTAAGGAATCAACCCAAGAGCATGCTTTGACATTCTTGCAATGATGTACACGTTGCGTTACTAGCACCTGAATTGTCAGCATTTCAATAAGTCTATTCTTATTGCTATGCTGCTGTGTTACTTCGTTGTCATATTCCTACACCACGCCCACGAAACCTTGCTCATGCTGTGCCTGCTTGCGGGCGAGCGTCTTCTCGAGCACGTGCGCATGCCCTGCCGTGCTCGCTAAAGCCACACAGGATGCGCCCGTCTTATCGGTGGCATTTGCATTGGCCCCTTGTTTCATCAAGGCCGTCACGAGCGGCAGGGCGCCGGCCGCGCAGGCAAGGTGCAAAGCCGTCTGACCGATGGACGTCAGCGGCTCGTCGATGTTGCCGAGCACGGGCAGCGCCTTCATGACCGCGCTGACGTCGCCCTGCTGAATCTTGTGGATCAGCGTCCCTCGGTCGACCTTGGAACTTCGAGGAGCAGGAGCGCTATAAGAAGCCGGAATGCAACATCCCACTGGGCTTTTTAAAATGCTCCAAGCGTCTGTTTCGAAGGCAATCGGTGTGAATCCAGGCCTGCTGGACATCCACCGAAGACCCCCAAAGCGACTCTCAAGTGCAACAGCGGACTGCCGGGGCTTTTGTGGCAGCGCCCAGAACTTCGACCGTGTGGCTGCCGGGCCTGTGCACCGCGGCTCCAGCAAGGCCGACTCCGAGAAAGAGCCAGGCAGAGTGGCGCCCATCTGGCAGAGCCTGCGATGAGACAAGGGTTTAGGGTTTAGGGTTTACAAGTTCGATCTGCAGATCCCAGTTTCTGAGCTTCGTCCACAGTCCAACTTTTCCAGGACTTACTTGGAAGCCCCTCAACAGTTGTCAACTTCTGTTCCTTAACAACAGCTTTGAAGTCAGAGGAGAGTGGGGGTTCTGAAGCGTAAAGTTCCGCGGCCGATGTTGACAGAACATCGGCTTCGCCGCAGGCGCATGACACTTCTTTGGGAGTCGGTCTCTATCCAGGCGTGCAGGAAGCATCATGAAGCAAGAGCTTCAAGAGATTTTGCACCCGGCCAAGAAGCAAGAAGATCTCAGGACTGCCATTGCAGCCCCTGGGGCAAGCTAAGCCCCTCATGTAACGGCATATTTCTTTGGCCTGGAGGAGGGCTTATAGGAGCCCTGACAGCTTCGGGGATTTTTCCCCAAACAGGGGGCAGCTACCGCCCAGAAAGCAGGTCGCACATGCAGAACGGCCGTCTTGCAGAAATGCTGGTCCCCACAGGTCCAGCGCAACAAGCTGTCCATACACTGTGTGACCTGCCGGCAGCACCCCCGCGCACTCTCAATGGAGACCGAGCGTGCTTAGGACATTCGAAAGATAGTTATGTCAATGAAACCCTACATAGAACATACTATCATATACAATGATTTCCTGAAACATTATGCAATCGTAGCTGTCGTAGCCCCCTTTAAGGTTCTTATAAGGAAGGCACGAGTAAAACTGTCCAGCACGCCACGGGTGCATGAGGGATTACAAAGGAAGCTCCCCCCCAGCCGCCTTCAATTGAAAGTGACATACCTCTGGGCCGATGACTCAGGGGCAGTTCGTGACACCCATCTGCCCGGCAAGGTTAGGCCGTGACTTGATTGGGGGCACTGGTCACGGGTCGTCCTTGTATGGGGCTCTGTCTAGGGAGTTTTACGGCCTACTTGCTGTCATGTCAAGCTCTCTGGCTCGCCAGGCACTCAATGGTATCCAAGCACCCCACACCAGATGGACTTCCTGTCATTCGGGGTAGAAAAACGAAAAATAAGGCCCGGAACATTCCGAAAAGCATGCGTCCCCTAAGTTAAGAAATGCGCCCCTGAGGTACGTGGATTTCAAACTGTGACACACTGGCATCTGTCCGGCTATAGGCTGGAAGATGCTCAAAAAACAAGAGAGAAAATAGGCGGCCTTGGCGCCCAAGATGCGCCTCCAGATGGCCCTTTTAGAGCTCCACTGGAAGCATCCAGAAATATAGTTCACAAACGTTGGGGCCTCCTTTGTATGGCCCAGAAAACTCCGTTCTCTTGCCACAGCCGACATAGCTGCCTTGCTGATCCAGTCACATTGCAGGGTAGCATCACTTTTGGCTACTGGGATGCGTCTTCCAAAATCACTCTAGCAGCTCCACCATCGGTTTTGTGGAGCAGTAACTCCGAACGACCTTTGCGAATGTCCAGGAAGGATGGCGCATGCATTCGTCACAGAGCGTCCTGAGGACGTCATCCGGGGTGATCTTGGAAGCTTCCTTCCAGCTCTCAGCACAAAAGCGCCGATACCCTTTCAACGACAAATCGCTACTCACCCCGCCCATCTCCATAAGTGAGTTCCATGCCGCCTGGTTCACATATGGCATCTTGCATGCTGTTGCCCATGACTCCATTTTGTCGTGCATCTCGGCAAATGGTGCCAGGAGCAAAGTGTCGAGGATCTCCATCTGGAAGAACACGGCCCACAAGGCCTCGGCCTGCTCATTGAAAACCTGCAGGCCAAGGATGTCTCGGAATGTTATTGTAGCAGCATACTGGAACGTGAGCATGTGTCGTGGAAAAACGCCACGGTCCCAGTGGATGGATACAACCTGCCGAAGTCTACGTCGAGCACCGGCTACATCCCCATCGTACAGCTTGTCAGCCGTGTCTTCCAGGAAGGATGCAAGCATCGCCATGTGGCTGAGCTCGTGCTCCGTGTCCCTAAAGATGGTGCTCCTCCAGTCGTGCTCACCTGCAGGCACTTTGCTCAAGTTGGCAACGAGCCTGGGGATAAATCTCTCATCAGCTGAAGCTTTCCGCAGGAGGTTGCGCACCGTTGAGGCGACGGTTGCGCGGTCGGTGTCCTGCTGGCAAAGGCGACCTTGCGTAAAGGGAGCCGCAATGAAGCGGAGCCATACCAAAGACCAGGCCATCTCTGCACGTTCAGAGAGCCCTTTGAGGAGGTCTCCCAGGGAGCGGAGCAAAGCCAGCTGAAAGAGGCACAGGTGACTCGGATGGACTCCATAGCCGATATGCCGCATACCCAAGGATGTAATGTCCCTCTCGACGACTCGAAAGTTCTTCTCCTCAAGCCAGGTTAAGCCAACTTGAACAACGGCTGCAAAGAGCAGCGCTTGGACTCTGACGTTCACCGTTTTGAATAGGCGATGCACGTTGCCTTCAAGCATCAAGTAGCCATAGAGCGTCTTGCCAAGCTCGTCCAGCTTGATTTGCCGCCACTGGCTCATAACCAATCCCAACATGCTGTCCAGTGAGTCATACCCGGTGTTTCTGCCAAAGGCATTCTGACAGAGTCTCGTGAGCAGTGCCTCATGCGAAGCACCCGGGCACTCCAAGAACACCTCCTTCATGCAGCGCCGAAAATCTCGAGGAGTGACACGTCCGGTGTGGTTGACATCCAAAGCATTGAATCCAGCACGCACGTGGCTGTCTGAGACACCCATCTCCAACATTGCCGCCTGAAAATCTGACAATGTTACGAAGCCAGGATCCATCTGTGCCAGTTTGCGAAAGGACCCATCTACTTCATCCAAGCAGTACATCAGAGGACATCGCAGGAACATGAAGTGATGGTTTTGTACGATCACGCTTGCAGTTGCCTTAAGCAGGAGAAGCGCCATGGTTGCGTAAGCACCAATAAACTGACTTTTCGGTGACATGGACACAAAAAATAACAACTCCACTCTCGCATGCGGGTCCCAGTTGGGAAGCTGATCCACACAAAGAGCTGCCGCGGCCAAGGTGCAACTGTACACGAGGCACGCTGCCACGAACGTCCTCTGGACAGTCCGGGGTAGATCTGCCGCTTCAACGAGGACGATCAGCACCGAGAGCTGCAGCATGTTGATGAAATCAAAGACATCCTCTGTGCGCTGAGCATCATGCTGCAGGGACATCCTCGAAAGCATCTGCGCGCTCCACCCGCGCAGGGCACAAGCAATAATGGCCCATGGATCAAAGGTCCTTAAGGTCATCCAGAGCAGTTGGCTATGCACCCTTGTCAAGATAACCGCAGTTGCGAGCCCCCAACAAAGGGTCGTGATGGCATGCGTGCACCATGTAGCAGCTGTCGGAGAAGACACCGTCACGACCATGTCTGCAATCGACATTTCTGCCGTCCTGGCAAACACGGCAAAGATGTTGGCTGTGTGCAAAAGCAGGCCTGTAACGATCAACGTCACAAGCGGCCAACTTCTCTTGAGTACCCAAGTTCCCACCGTGAAGGTCAACATCATCCGCCCGGATAAGATGTAAGCGTGCTCAACTGGCCTGACGATCATTACGTGCTCCTCCTTCATGTCATCGTTGCTGCCCTGGAACTTCACCTCGGTTGAGTCGCCGTGCGTCCACAACCTCGACGGCTTTGATGCTTCCATGCCAGCCGCGCCAGGAGGTGAGGCGCACTGCGGCACTGCGAGGCTCTCTCTGAGGGATTGTGCTTGCCTAGCTGACCTGCGAGGATGCTGGCATTTCTTCTCCTAGGGTTTGTAAGTCTTTAAGTTCAACTTTGGGGCTTAGGGCTTGGGGCTTGGGGATTCGCCACGACTACGGCAGCTGGACAGCTCACACGGCAGACTTGGGCCGGCTGATCGGGAGCTTGGTTGGAAACAATCTTGCATGAACATGCCACCAATGTCACTGCAAGAGCTGCTCCACATGCAAAGTTGCAAGATGGTCGGTGTGAAAATGGGGGGGGGGGGGGGGCAACACTGGTACCAGGTGCGTTAAGAGAGCGCCCCATCCTGATATCACGAGAACTCTGGTCGGTCTTTGCCATGTTGATCTGTCTTTAAATTTGTTAAGCCAGCGCGGACCAGACATGCTCGCTGCCCCCCTGCTGGTATGCAATGTTGCAAGAACGGGCGTGACCCCCTGCACCCATGTTCCGGGGCAGTACATATGCACGCACACACACACACACACACACACACACACACACACACACACACACACACACACACACACACACACACACACACACACACACACACACACACAACAACACACACACAACAACACACACACACACACACACACACACACACACACACACACACACACACACACACACACACACACACACACACACACACACACACACACACGCAAGCGTCTTCGAACTTCTACTCTCGGCTGCTTGCGAAAGGGCAGCTCCTGTGTCAGGGCATGTCGCCTGGTCTTGTGAGTGTCGTGTTTGTTGCCATCTGCAGAAGCAGGCAGGTGAACCATGCGCAGCATCTACGTGCGTAGCCAACGTGCGTGATTCATTCGCTGAAAGGGCTCCCTTTTGATTTAGAGGGTTGCATTTCTTGTAGCTTGGCTTTCACCGGAACTGCCAAGAATTCAGGCCTGGCCGTGACAACATGAAGCCACTCGAAGAGGGTGGGCCAGCGAGCGCAGCAAACGAGGCCACATCTACGTGGTTGGGTGCTATGCCAAATGCCTGTTTACTTCGCTTCGGGTGTCGTGCTCAGCCGATCTGCTCCTGTCATGTAGTCTTCGTAATTCATATTTCAAAAGCGGTGCCATCGCTGTGTCTGAGCATAAGGCAACGGTGATGCATGCAAGCCGACACACACACACACCATTCCAATACTTTCGTACACTTCCGTATGTGCCGGGCTGAAGGAGGGAAGCACCTCAGAAAACGCTTCCGACCCGACTCTCCAAGCGGTAGACCCGGTAGACTTCCCTCAGCCCAGCACACGAACATCTTGCGGCCTGCGCAGGCGCAGGCGCACACACGTGCGCGCAGGCCCACGTGACTTCCAGCTGATAGCATCTCTTATAGCTGTTATGAATAACTTCCCACCGCAGCAGCTCAACGGCTTTATCAAGGCCTTCCATTTGCGACAGCCAGGCCTGGCAACGGATGCGCTGAAGAAAAACCAGCTCCGTGATTCTTTCGTGCGTGGTTCGGCTCGACCCCTATAAGCGAATCTCCGGGACAGCGACATGCGCGCCACCGTTGTCATAGTGCAATCTTGTAATTGCACCCTTCGGTGAGATGAAGACTTTCGTCAAGTCCCAGTCCTGCCAAACATGGGACACCCTGCTGTCTTGTCTTTTTGCCTGGGTCTTCCTCGGAAACCCCACCTCATTCTGCAGCTTCTGCTTTTGCTCCTCTGCATCAGGCCTCGATTGAACAGGCAAGGCGGGCAGCTGACAATGCACACTTAATGGCTTATAATTCTATAATTTGGCTACTTAAGCATATACTTGCATATATTGGCATATGCTCGCAATGCCCAGGAACGGCTGATAGCTGCCACGGGCCGTCAAGCCCTCGAGGAGCGACTGAGCAGGCTTCAACAAGGTCCCGAGACATTCGTATCGCTCCCCTCCCGAGAAGCAACGCAGCTGACTCGGCCTCGCGGAGCGCCTCGGACTCTCGGATCAGCAAGGAGTTCAGGTCCTGCGCCAGGAGCCCCATCGGTGTGCTTCAGGGCGTGCACCGGTACATGCACTGAAACATGCGCGTGGAAACACTGACACCTTTAATAAGAGAGCTTATCGAAGCGGGCCTCCAGGATCATATCCGCTGAGGCGGCAGCGTCTGCGACTTCCTCACCCCCAGGAACGACATGGCTCCGAAGCCACGGCAGCTGAGCGAAGGCCGGCCAGCCGTTCAAGTAGAGCCTCGGACAGCTTGCTGCGTTCTCGGCTCGGGAATCTGGGTCCAACTTTTCCAAGTCCTGGATGTAGCTGGTATACTCGCTCAGAGATGTTTCGTATACGGGTGCTTCCCAGAGGTTCTCTTGGCGAGTGAAGATGGGGCCGAGCCACTTCACGAGCTGGCGCGTGTGGCCCAGCTTCGCCGCGAGCCACGCGAGGTCCCAGGTGTCCTGTGCCGGCCAGCCTTCTTGCATGTCTACCAGGATGAAGGGCTCCTCAGCCGTCCCGACATCGAAGCAGTCGAACTCGCTGCTGCGCCTTCGCGCGAGAGTTCGGGCTGACTCGAGCAGGGGCGGGACGAGGCCCCGGGCAGTCCAGTTGCAGAAGTTCAGGTAGTACTGCGAAGGTGGCAGCGACTCCACGCGGGCCAGCCACCAAGGCAGCCGCATGCAACCTTCCTCACCTTCCTTGCCTTCCTTGCCTTCCTCTCTGCCCTCCTCCTGCCAAGCCTCTTCCTTTTTGGAGGCCTTCTCCCCAGCAGCCTTGAGCCCGTCGACCTCCAGCACGTGCACCTCAAAGAGCAGATTGCTGTTTGGGGGGACGATGTGTGGTACACCCGTCTCCCCATAGCCCAGATCTGCAGGGATGTGGATCTCTGAGATGGACCCCAGGGACAGCTCCTTCAGTCCGAGCTCCATTCCCGGGATGATGGCCTTCTTGCCCAAGAGCATGGTCATGGGAGGTTGCCCTTTGCCCGCCGTGCTCTCAAAAACGCAGCCACTAGGCAGGCGGCCCACCAGGTGGGCCACAACACGCCTGACATGAGACACTTACGAGGGCAGGCAGTTGGGGGGCTTCCAAGGGCCACAGAACATCATAGAACCATACATAGTATACTAGCTGCAAGCCATGCGGCTGCTGGGGAAAGTGCTCTTGATCACCTTCCTGCAAGACCTTGTGTCCGCTGCACCCCACTCAACAGGAATGCCCATCTAACGACCCAATGTCACGCATCACACTTGTCGCATGTGCGGGTACCTGATTATAAGGGACTACCTCATTAATTAGAAGGGAGTACCTTATGAAAAGGGGGCACCTTATTATAAAGGGGGTCCTAGAATTTGGGGGTCTACGTTAGGAATCATTAGGGGTCCCCCCCGTGATTTTCGTAAAGCCCCAGCCCAGGCACCGAAACGACGACGCCCTGCGGCAGCTCCACACGTCGCTTTACGGGCGGGGGACCGGCCATCACCGTGGAGACCATCCCCTGCATCTCCTATCCCTAAACCCTAAACCCTAAACCCTAAACCCTAAACCCTAAACCCTAAACCCTAAACCCTTTCAACTCTCAAAAAGGGCTCTTCAAGTGGCTTTTTGGCCATGGGAACCTCAGAGGACTGACCCAGAGTTGTCGCTTAAGACTTGCATGGGTGGCATGTTACGGTGGCATGTGGGTGGTATTCTCTGGTGACCTGCCCATCTTTCTGTGCTACATCCCATGGCCACCCGGGCTTGGCATAAGCGGGCTTTTCACAAGAACCAAAGCATGTGGCGGGATGCTGAACGTGACAAGCATCTCACAGCCGAGTCTTTCGTTTTTAGTTCGGCTGCTTCTTGCCTCCAACCTACCCAGTCCATGCGACACCATTCCACTGTACATGTCGGTCTCACTAAGCGGGTGCCAACACTAAAGAACGGTGATCTTCCAATGCTTGGGATGCCCGCAAACGGTGTCTCTGTGTCTATCTCTTCACAGGAACGACGTCATACGGTAATAGTCTACAAACGACGAAGTTTCACGGAGAATGTGAACTACACTCTAACCACTCGCTCAACTGCACTTAACTACATCTCCACACACAGTCTGTCGGCATCTGGCACTTGGCTGGAAGGGATGCCTTACGCTGCAAGCTCGGCTACTTCGCGCACCAAAGAGTACTGAGGATTTGCTTCTGGCTATATAGGCTGACAAGCTGAGTCACTCTGCAACCTCCTCGCCGGCGAATTGAAAAATCAGACACTGAGGTCATGTGAAACTGGCTGCTTCCTATGTCGCCACACAGCTTGTTGCCTCTTTGCGCTGACAACGCGTCAAGAGACAGGAAATTCAGAGCGCGGGATCTTCTGAATGCTCTGGATCCTCACGCCTTTGGCACTCCAGAGTGGACCCAAACGAAATCAAGCTCTCCATAGCTCTCAGCCGCACTGCGAACTGAGCTTCGCCCAGCCGCTCCACGGCATGTGATGCGTTATCCGGACAGCGCCTCAGGCCTCCTCAGGGGCCCCGCGCCCGTATTGGCCCTAAAAAAGGTTCCTCGGGAATTTTTTCCGCATCCTGAGCCATGGAACGATATGGCACGAGATGGCTGAAGCAAGCTCGGTGTAAATTCGGGGCTCCTGGGCTCCTGAGACGCGCTCTTGGCTGGAAAGTTCTTCCCACGAACAGGCCGCCCGGCGGAACGATGTGGTGCTGTCAAATTGCTTCCTTTTGAAGCCCCTATGCAAGGATGCCATATATGACGAGAGGGCGGCCCAGCTCTGAAAGGTATTTTGTGCTGCAAGAGTGAGGTTCCCCCATCTTGCGGTCACGAGAAGTTACAAGTTCTGCAGGCGCGAGACTGCGTGACTCTTTGCAAAAAAATCTGGGAGGAGGCACGGGTACCCCTCTGCCTGCAGAACCGGCTTGGGGCACGTGCCCACGTCAGGCCTTTGCCACTGGAACTCGGCAAACCTAGGGGGTGCATGCACCGGTCTTGCTTTGCTCAGTTTGGGTGATGTCTGCAGCGGCTTCTGTGGTTGCACTCTTGTCAGATTTGTGGGGTTGCCGACACAGAGCCCCAAACCCTGAACCCGAAACCTCAAGGGACTAATGGAGGGACCCCTCATAAGGGTAGGGGTTGTATAGGGGGATAAGATTAAGGGCCCCTTCTAGGACTCCCACCGGATACCCCACAAAAACCCTGAGCCCCAGATCCATACTGACTGTGCGCGCGGCGCGGGGCCCTTCATGCGCAGTCCAACAAGTCCAGGACGATCATATACAGCTGGATGTCGACTCCTTAGGTCAACAACCATGTCTGCATCATCAGTGTTGTAACCCACTTACTTTTACAATAGTGGAACCATGGCATAGTAGAATAACAGCAGTTAAAGATGCAATATATTATATATACGAATAGGTTACTAAACTCCCCTAAGATAAAACCCCCGAACCCGAAAATTTAATGTTCCCCATACACCATCATCATTTTAAAAAGGTCTCATGTGCGTATTTAAAATTAGGGGGGGAGGGGGAGGGGGGCGTGTGAATATTAGGGGGAAAGGATTTATTTGATGAAACAGTCGTAATTAGGGTTAGGGCACGTCCCCGCAAGCCGCCCCTGAGTTCGCTGCCAACTGCTTTGGATCCAGACTCCAAACTCGGTCGTCCGCGTCGAAGTGCACCAGCACCTACAAAAGGAACCGCTTCCGGTGCCAGTTTTTGTCGGGCATGGAAAGATTGCACCTGGTTTGAGGGACGAGGGCTTAGCATTTAAACCCTGAGCCCCCCCTGAACCCCCCCAAAACCCCCAACCTTTTCAGCCCGGAGCTCTCTCATGTGCCTTTTGGAGCAGCAAGCCTTGCCCAAGGCTTTCATACAGATCCGTTTTTTTGCACCCGGGCTTGGAGTTACGTCATGAAAATCGGGGCAAACACGGCCTCTGAGCCCTTTCAACTTTCAACCCGGTGCTTTGCCATGGTCTGCCACAGCTCAGTACACAAGGATGTAAGGATGTTAACTACTAAGTCTTCAAAGTGCTAAGACGAGGCAGCACCGGGGACCCGCAACATTCCTCAACCGCAGGCCAGGGACAGTTTTTTGGGGGAAGTTTACCAAGGAGAGAAGGGTGGGGTTTTGGGGGGGGGGGGGGGGGCAACCCTGGATGATACTTGAAGCAACAGGCATTAATGCCACCTCTGCGACAAGAGGCTCTGCAGACTTCGGCAACGTCAGCCATCAGACATGCACAAGAGAGTCCGGAAGTACAGATGCTTCAAATCCAAAAACAACAAAGCACCGAACCTTTTAAGGGCGAGAGAAGGGCGAAAGTTTGTCCAAGCCATCGCTATGCTGGGCCTTGCCGCCTGCATGGCCAGGTCCGACCTACAGGTGAGCTTGCCCGCAAGGCACATTCGCTTTATCATAACAGAAATAGGAATAATAATAAGAAGAAGTAATAGTCAGAAGAAATAAGAAGAAGATCATAATAATAGGAAGAATATTAATAATAACCAGAGGGCCTTGTTAAAGTGAAGCCTGAGGCGCCCACGATGGTGCCCTCCTCTCCTTCGGCCACAGCTAGTCTGGTCTCCTGAGCGCCCCAAGGTGCCACACAAGATGCCCCCAAGTCTCTCGTGCAGGTTTAGGGTTTAGGGTTTAGGGTTTAGGGTTTAGGGTTTAGGGTTTAGGGTTTAGGGTTTCATGTCAGCCTGACATGGGCATTGCAATCTCCCCAACAGAATCTTGCCCCCCCTCCCCCCCCCGGCCCCCCAGAAAGTGAGGATCTTAGGCGTCCGGCGTCGAAGCTGCGAGAACCAAAGACTTGGCCCAAGCTTCGGACCTGCGGTGGGTTGAATATATTTATATAGTATCATTACCATCATTATTCTTAAGATTGCTATTATTATTCTCATTCTTATTACGATTATCATTGTTAGTATTCTTATTTCTACCATTTGTAACATTGTATACACCGTTTGTACTGCTGACGCGTCACCGACCATTCTCGTCACCATGGTAAGGAGATGTAAAGAGTGGCCGAGTCGGCGACGTACTGTTTGACTAATAGTGAATAATATGTTACAAATATAGCAAGAATAAGTCTAGTATTAGTATTAGTACATTGGTAGTATTGGAGGCTCTGGAGCACTGCGTCTCACCGTGACCTCCGAGTCCTGGGCTCGATCACCCCGAGCGAATCCCTGGATCTTTTCCTGGACGGCTTCCTCGTAGGCCTGTGTGGTTGGAGCGAGAAAAAGCTGAGGCACATCGTCGTGGGCTTGGGGGGTGGGACACCTCACAGACGACTTGCTGTAGGGCCGGGGCTTCTGCGACGACGTGTTTTGCGAAGCATCACTTTATCACTTTGCGCCGCCCCTCGTCGCCGAGATACCGCTTTTCGTGGCGAAACTTGTGCTGTTCGACAGGACTGCAGTCCCTCTGCAGGCAACTAGAATGGACAAAAAAAAGTCCAGCCCAAAACCATCCCCGGTCTGTGCACATCACCTGCCTGGAACAAAGCACTACTTCTAAAAAAGTGAGCCCAACTCATGACAACAATCGGTGTGGTAGTGTGGCAGCAGCCGTCGTAACTCCAATTTGGAAACTTTTGCGCTTGGAACGAATAGAACCGTAAGTATAGAAATTGGAGTATAGTATGAAAAATGACCATAACAGCAAAAACTGGCAAGACACATATCTATCTTTGTGACGGGCGTGGTGCCGGAAGTATTGGGTTTTAGTAAAACTAAATAAATACAAGAAGAAATACAAAAAAAATACAAACGGGGAATGCAAGAAAAATACGAGCGCAGAAAAGCCAGCCGAACAAAGTGCAAGAAAAATACAAGAAAATTACCAAAAAAAAACAAAGGGCAACTTACAAGACAATACAAGAAAAATACAAAAAATAACAAGAAAAACACAAGAAATATACGAGAAAAATACAAGAAAAATGCAAGGAACATACAAGAAAATTACAAGAAAAATGCAAGAAAAGTACAAGAAAAACACAAGAGCAAATACAAGAAAAATACAAGAGGCGCGGAGGCGCGGGGGGGGGGGGGGGGCTTGTGTTGTTGTCGTATTTTTTTCGTATTTTTCGCGTATTTTTCCATATTTTTTCAGTATTTTTTCCGTATTTTTTCGTATTTTTTCCGTGTTTTTTTCGTATTTTTTTCGTATTTTTTTCGTGTTTTTTTCGGTTTTTTTTTTTCGTGTTTTTTCGGTTTTTCGCGGGGGGGGCGGGGGCGGGGTGGGGGGGGGGGGGGGCGGGGGGGGGGGGGGCGGGGGTGGGGGGGCGGGGGCGCGGGGGGGGGGGGGGGGGGGGGGGGCGGGGGGTGGGGGGGGGGGGTCGGGGGGGGGGGGGGCGGGGGGGGGGGGGCGGGGGGGGGCGGGGGGGGGGGGGGGGAATTGCGAAAAATACGCGAAAAACACGAAAAAATGCGAAAAAAATACTGAACAAATACGAAAAAATACGAAAAAAATACGGAAAAATACGGAAAAAATACGCGAAAAATACGGAAAAAATACGACAAAAACACAAGCCCCCCCCCCCCCCCCCCCCCCCCCCCCCCCCCCCCCCCCCCCCCCCCCCGTTTCCTTTGCTTGCATTTTTCTCGTATTGTTCTTGCATTTTTCTTGTATTTTTCTTGTATTTTTTCTTGTATTTTTCTTGCATTTTTTTTGTATTTGTCTTGCATTTTTTTGTATTTCACCGTTGTTCCTGAATCGCTACTTGTATTTTCTCTTGAATTCATTCTTGTATTTTTCTTGTGTTTTTTTTCATTCTGCTGGGGGGTCAATACTTCCGAGACGCGCTCCTCACAAATCTATCTAAATACATACCTAGGTTGTGCTTCTTCATTTATCGTGTGAGAACCGAAAAAGTGGCTCTAATCGTGAGACAGACAGAGTCGACACTCATGGCACTCAATCGTCTTACCTTGAGGTGTTCCCCCTTATACTGACATCTCCATCATCGGGATTGCAATAGGGGGCTGAGGGTGAAGGAAAACGGAAAGGACACACCAGCCACTACGTCTGAGGGCGGCGCAAGACTTAAGGCCAACCCAAGAAGCAAGGACAACTTGGCAGCCGACTGGACAATGGAGAAGGTACAAAAGCAAGGGCTGGGCGAGAACACTTGCCCGCCGGCGCGCACATCACAGAGCGTGCTACAGCCGCTCAAAACAGCCCTGCAGGAGCATAACATGGCTAAAGGCCACGTGCGGTGTCTGCCCCGTGCGGCCCATAGGGGGCTATATTCATCCCTGTTAAGGACTGTTCGTACAAGGGGGCAACATCCCAAGTCTTACCAGAAAAACACCCCCCACCCTACAGCTCAGCAATGTTGCTGGGCACTGCATTGGGATCGTCCGGGATTATGCAGGAAATCCTCCGCGGACTTCTCTTGCGGGCGTCTTTAAAGCAGGGTTTTGAGTTTTGAGGTTTTCGGGAGTTTAGGGTTTAGGGTTTAGGGTTTAGGGTTTCGGGTAAAACTGTCCATCAGACCTGGGCGAGGAGCTCAGGAGTCCCCAAGTCGAACGATGGTGAGTGCCAATGATCATCACCAGAAATGAGTAAAATCAAGAAATCAGAACGGCAATCAGAAGAATTCTGGGAATCTGTCGTTCATGAAATGTCTCGCTTCTTGCCTGGTCTTCCTGTAATTAAGGTTCTTGCCCGGCCTCCGTCTTGCAAATAAGGCTGGGCCAAATGCTCCACTCGCCAATTCCATTGTCAAAACCTTATCCACTTCACGTGGCAGGAGCCGAAGGCAAAGCGAAGAAAGAGCCCGCAACGTACACGAAGGGTCATGCCTGAGGAACGGGCGGACGGCAAGCTTGCCTTTGACCACTGATGGCCCCACTACCTCACTAGCGCGTGCACGCAACACTCTGCATGCTCCTCGCACAAAGTACTTGCCACTGCATGAATCGTCGCCTAAACCCTAAACCCTAAACCCTAAACCCTAAACCCTATGTTGGCGGAGTGTTCCAGCTTAAGCTTCTCACTGTACCCTCGTCGCCCAGCCACAACTCCTGCCACCGCGTCTCGCTACGGACATCTGGTAACCCACACTTCTGCTGTCCGCTTGCGGTTCCTTCATGGAGTCTTGTTTTCCCTGTCCACTTCTGTCCACTATCCAACTTGTAACTTGCAGCAGTTCAGCTCGGTTGACTTCGCCATGCGAGCTGCAACTTCTCGGCTGGCTTGGCCATGCCCCTGTACACGTTACACTGCTACAGTTCACGTAGGCGTAAACCCTAAACCCTTTTTGCATCCACTCTAAACCCTAAACCCTAAACCCAATACCCTTGTAGTTTACCAAGCCACACAGGTGCAGCGCACTCTCGGCTGACACGAGTGCAACCCGTACTGTTCTGCTCACTCTTCGTGGAGCTTGCTGGACAACCAGGATGGGCTACTCGGCCCTATAAAATCCCCATAATCAACCCTATAAAGGGACTTTTAAGGGGGTTCTAGGGCATGGAAGCTGGGCCTGCTAAATATGAGGTAGGAGCAAGGCGCCGCCAGGCAGCGAGAAGCTCTTTCTCCGAACCTCCTTGTTGTGCATCACCTGAGCGATTATGATTTTACATGCTTTTCTTGGCCACATCCTCTTCTACCTCTCAGTTGTGGGGGGCTTGTGTACCGGATCCCCCCTCTTATGCCATGTTCTGCCAGCACTGCCCTGATTCTGCAAGCCCAGGCCCCGACATTGATGGTTTCATTGGGGGGCCGCAGGTGCAGAACCTTTGCCGCTGGCCGGATCGGAGGCTTTCGTGGCGCCCGCGGTTGAGGGTCGGGCGGCAGCACGCCCAAGCTTGGCTGCCTCACAGGGCTAAGCCCACTGGGCCTCCAGCGAGGAACGGCCCTGGGGCGCAAGTCTGGTGCACTGGGGCTCACCATCTTTCTCGGCTGCGGATGGTTGATGCCATTGGCCTCCAGATATTGAAGGAGGTCGCGGCGCACGGTCTCGGACTGGGGAGGGTGCATCATGCCAACGTGGACCGGAGCTTGCTGGTAGGCTCGTATGCCAGCCTTCTGTACGTAGGGCCGTGGCTGGTTGAACCATTGGCAGGCTCTCTGACCAGCCCTGCTACGGGGGGTGGACCGCTCACTGCCGAGGTTGAAGACCTCAAACGTTGATGCCATCTCTGCATCTGGAGAGCCGGCACTGTCTCATCCGTCTCGCTGGCATGGCATGGGGGGCGTGTCTGCAGATCTGCACCACACCCTGACGTAGAGCCATCTGAGCCAAACGACAGCAAGACAAAAAGCAAGATGGTGACACGGCGAGGTACATGGGCATGAAAAGAACTTCTTCGAGGGTTTCAGAGGCGACGTGTCTCACAGCTCACACAGACCAACCTGGTGCGGCTGATGGGCTGGCGGGTTGAGCAAGGTGATCAGGGACTTCACCTGAAAACCAAGAAGCCCGGCGACGACGACATGCTGCCCTTTCGTCATGATGACTCGTCTTGGCCCATCGTACCAGGGCCGGTGCCCTGCATCCCCAGTTGAAGCCAAATATTCCAGCAGCGCGCGCGGCACCGAATTGAGCCGGCTGACCTCACGTTCCGTCTTCGCTCCCCGCGACTGAGAGAACACCATGTGCAACTTACGTCTCACTTGGAATCACTTTGGCCCACTTTGGGCCACCTATGCACTTTCTGAAAAGGTTTGGGGCGCACGCTGATTTGGAATGGCGAAAGCCACCTGCCATGCGCTGCAAGGCCAGCTGCAAAAGCACTGCCGATAGAGAGCTCTGTTGGCATGTTGAAGCAACGGTCGCAGCGCCAGCAGACACCACGGGGAAACTGGACCTAAGTGTGCCAATGCTCACGACGCAGACTGCGAGTCTGTGGGGTGCCTCATCCCCCCCCCCCCCTTTGGCACTTTTTTTGAGCCCTGACTCTTGACCCTAAACCCTAAACCCTTTTTGCATCCGGAACCCTAAACCCTAAACCCTTTTCCCTAAACCCTAAACCCTGAGCCCTAAAATGGCGGGGGGGTTCACGCCGGGCTCCCGAGCCAGCAGGCGCAGGTCCACCTCGCTCCCAAAGCGGCGCTCGACCTCGACACGCCCCGGACAAGATGATGTTCATATGTTATAGCAATCTTATCATATCGGAGATGCTACAATGATATGCAAAAGATATGTTCACACAACTTGTGCACGTATATATATATATATATATATATATGTAATATGCAGTGCGGAAATTGAATGCATGAATATGTACAGGTATATATTGAGTTGCATTGGGCCCCCGCTGCGAGCTTGCTTCCTCTTCCACTCGGGCGCCAGTACGTGCCAAGCACCATATGCACATATTGATATAGCAAATACATACATAGTATATCAATAATATATATATATACACACAAAAAATGTATATATACTAATAGAGCATAAACCATTTTACTTAATATGTGCATGTGTATACATATGTGATTTATCTATGCTTTTCGGGGGGAGCTAGGGTCTTCATGTTCTGAGTCTGGCTTAAGTTTAAGGTTGATCTTTGTTATATAGTATACATACATATTGCATGTAGGGTTAGGGTTTAGGGTTTAGGGTTTAGGCTTTAGGGTTTAGGGTTTAGGGTTTAGGGTTTAGGGTTTAGGGTTTAGGGTTTAGGGTTTAGGGTTTAGGGTCTCGGACTGCGGGGCAAGAGCGCATGTCGGCATCCGGAGTCAATGAGTTGCAGGCCGCTCCAACAACATTCCCTTCCTGACCCAGCTCCATCAGCAGCCTGCCATGATTTTAGCATCCGGCCGGCGTAAGAAAAAGGTCGCGCCGCATACGACACCTGCGCCTTGCAATAGCAAAGCATGCCGGGGCATCGTCTGATTCTGCGCCTCTCTGGAAATCAGCGTCACCTGGCACCAACGCTGGCAGCAAAAGAATAAAGAAGGAGGGGACACATCAGAACCACCCCCTTTCATCGGGTTTTTCGGAGCTCAAGGCGAGCCGGAGGGGCTGCTCTCTCGCCCACTGCGTAGCCCCCTGGCAACGTTCGCTGAGGAAGCGGGGGCACCTGCAGCAACCGGAATTTGCGAAAGCGAAAGAGAAAGAGAAAGAGAAAGAGAAAAGAGAAAGAGAAAAGAGAAAGAAAAAGAGAAAGAGAAAGAGAAAGGGAAAGGGAAAGAGAAAGAGTGAAAGAGAAAGAGAGAGAAAGAGAAAGAGAAAGAGCAGAAGGAAAAGTAGAAGCTTTCCCAAGCTCCACGTGCAGGCCTTGACGCCCTCTCCGTCGGAAAGCTCCACGGATGCGGGCTTCTCGGGTGCCTGCAAAAGGATGCGCATGACATGCGAAAGAGGCTGGCCCCCTTGAACCCTCAACCTGTAAACCCTAAACCCTAAACCCTAAACCCTAAACCCTAAACCCTAAGCCCTAAGCCCTAAACCCCAGGGAGCTTCTTTGTTTCCATGGTCGCCTTCTTGCGCTCACCGGCCTTGGGCTCCTTGACCTCGGAAAGCCAAGCTCTGAGCCGCCCAGTTTGCTGTGATGTGTGTGGGCAGAGGTGTGTCAGGGTTTAGGGTTTAGGGTTTAGGGTTTAAGGTTTAGGGTTTAGGGTTTAAGGTTTAGGGTGTCCATGTGTGGGGCTGGTATTGGAGTTGTCAGGGGAGCAGCGTCGCTTATCCTTCAGGCACGTTTGCGACATGACACCCGAAAGGAGCCCGCCGGGCGAAAAAGGAGAGAGGAAACATGTGGGGGCGAAACAGCACGGATTGTATGTTACCATGACCCGAAAGCCAAAACACTGCGAGACCATCTAAAGGCCTTATACCAGAATAGTCCGAGACCAGCTAAACAACTTCAAACCTTTTGCCAGAGTAGGACACGAAGACTGAGGCACCCGGCGCTGGTCAAGACCTCCTTCGCTTCCATAGCCTGACGAAGCATGGAGATCTCATGCGCGTGGTGCAAGTCTCTGTTGCCCTGAGCTCATCTTCACATGCGGTGTTCGGGCCAAGTTCTTTTCCATCCTTTCGACTGTGCTTGCAAGAGGGGCTTAGCTCCAAGAGCAGTGCACTTGGGTAGTGGCAAGTGTGTGCGAAAATCCGCCCTCTCATGCACTTGCGAACTTGCGGTCTGACTCACTTGTTCAGGAAGTAGTACGCTCCCAGCGCCAATCCGAGGACAAGCACTGCTGGCACAAAAGCCCCGAGACCACCACCACCTCCCCCCTTCGCCGCTGCTTCCGCATGCTTCGGGACCAGCTTCGTCTCAATGCCCTCCTCCTCCGCAGCGCTCTCCATGTAGCCGATGATCAGCCTAAGCTATATGAATAGGTCCATAGGCTCCCATAGGGAAAAACCCTGCCTGTCCCTTCTTGGTGACAACTTGATCAGAGAAAATCACTTTCTACTCAGGTCAGGAAGCTTGCTGGCCCAGTCCCGAGCACTGTCGCTGTGCGAGATGTCCTCGAAGTCCTGCGTGCCGTCCTGCGGAAGCAAAACTGGCGGTTTAGGGGTTTAGGGTTTAGGGATGTTTAGGGTTCAGCCGGTGCGCTGCACTCCGCAAGCAGACATCTTGTGGTAGGTTTGCGCAACTTGTGCGAGCCGTGTTGCTTTGAGCTGAGGACAGTCCTTGCCAGCCAATGCGGTCACGACGTCCGGGCCGCCCGGGTGCTCGTCCAAGAAATCCTTGCCAGGCAAACCCTGCTGCAGCGACGTTTTCTGGAAGCCTTCGCTTCTCTTCACTTCCTGGTGAGTTTTGCCTGTTCTTCTGTTGTTGTTGTACTCATTTTTTGTACTTTATATACATGCACTTTTTCAAGCCCACTGCTAAAATATCAGAGGCCCTTCTCAGCTTTGAGGCCGTCCTTGGACAGATTGAGGACCAAGCCGTGGAGGGCCATCCAAGCATTGTCTTCCGAGCCGTGCTTTTCAAGCTCGGCCTCTGCAAAAAGGCAATTGGGGGGTTTAGGGTTTAGGGTTTAGGGTTTAGGGTTAGGGTTTAGGGTTTAGGGCAGCTGCACCTCGAAAGTCCCCCCCCTTTTCCCGGTAATTGTGGACAGGCCGCGGCGGTGATCTTGCGCCTCGCCTTTCCCTCCGGCATTGCTTGTCAGAAGAGGGCTTCTGCTGCTCCACAATTCCAGCTTGAGCAAAGTAGCTTCCGGCAGGAGATGGTGCAAGAAGCAACCACAGCACCCAAATGAGAGACAGAAAGACATGCCATTTCTACGTTGCAGGTTTCGTCAGTGGCGCCTGACTTCCTTCGCTGCTGACAGTGCTCCTGCATGGCCCCAAGTTGTGCATCAAAGCTCAGGCGAGCCCGGAGAGTGAATCTCTGAGAGCGCCGCCCCTTGCCAATTCCGCTAAGGTTTGCCGTGTTCGCCCGCATGAGCTTCGCTCTTCTCTGCGGCCTCATGACAAAGGAAAACAGGACCGGCATGTTTCTCTCTTGTTTTCCTGTCTCTCTCTTCTTCTTTTTCTTCTTCTTCTGCTGGGCTTGAAGGAGTGCAGAAGCACTTCTCTCTACATACAACTTCCCCACATTGTCGCATAACGCAGATCAGTGGAACGGCGTGACCACAAAGAACCCATGATGGGTCAGCGAGCCCGTCTGTCGATGCGTGTTTCACGGACATCTGTGTGCGATGGCCGCATGCATAGCCATACCTACTTGAAAGACCACCGTCTAATTAGCATTGAAATAAATCTGCCCCTTCAGTGTCCAATGACTAAAGCAAGCTGCGAACGCTACCCACTGTCACGATGCCCATTCTTTGTTCTCTGAGACAATACGTCTGATCTACGGCGACACACTTCCTGCCTGCTACACTCTTGGGACAAACCCTAAATTCCCTTAAACCTAACCCCAGCAGAACCCTTTTCGGGCCGCTGCGTGCCACCACCATCTTCGGTTGGAGGTGCAAGGCCTGGGCCCGAAGAGGTCTCTCTTGGCGAAGACTCTGCACAAGAACCAACAACCCAGCAACCACGGGCAAATGGTCTTCGTTGGAAGTGTACTGCAATTGTATATAACATCAGAAGTCTTATGTTGTGATTGCTACCATCTACTCATTCTGGCAGGGCCTTTCGGAGTTCAAGTTGAGAGGCGTCGGGCGGTCGGAGGGAGGTCATCTAGGTTGCCGACTATTGCTCGCCAGGCCAGCATCGTTGTTGTTGGTCTTACATCTGCCGCGCCTGAACCACCAGGTTGAATGCACGCTGCTCTAGAGGGGTTTGAAATTCCGTGGGCCGATCGGCTTAGGGTTTAGGGTTTAGGGTTTAGGGTTTAGGGTTTAGGGTTTAGGGTTTAGGGTTTAGGGTTTAGGGTTTAGGGTTTAGGGTTTAGGGTTTAGGGTTTAGGGTTTAGGGTTTAGGGTTTAGGGCCACGATCTCTCAGCATGAGGCGAGTGATGGGCATGATTGGGCATGTAGCGGAGAAGCGCCTTCTGGCTTTTCCAGGGTTTGATAAGATCTCGCTTTCATCGTCGGAAGCGCCACCCGAGCTTAGCTTGCTCCTGAGCCACAGCAGCCACAGCACATGCCCTAAGCTTTGCCCAGCTTCCACGGAGCAACTTCGGCTCATAAACAGATGCAAGATCTTGATTCTCTCCTGAGCAGCTTGTCGCTGTTCTGCCTTCTAAACACTGGCTGTGGCTTCAACCTCAGTGTTTCAGGTTGAATCCTCCCAGCTCGGCGCGAACCTGCCCGGCAAAAGCGCTTGCATGCCGGGGCCAGCACGCTGCCGTGGTGTTGAGCCTGGGACAAGGCACGTACCAGCGCCCTTCTTGGGCGAGTGCGAAACCCTAAACCCAAGCCCTCGCAGCCAACGTTTGCCTCGGTTTAGACTAACTGGACTTTGGGCCGCCACCGTTTCTGCTTCTGCCTTGCGCCGAATGCCAGGCCTGGTGCGGTTTCAAAAAGCGCCCCAATTCGAATGGATTAGTAGAAACGTGTTGAGAAAAATCATAACACTATGGTAATCCTATACTGAAAATACTATAATGATACAGAACGGCTGCAAGTCATCATCGTTCTTGTTAGTTGTGATGAATATTTTCATGAGATGCCTCATTCGCAGCCTTGTCCTCTCAAGTCAAGACCAGCATTTCTGGTCCGAGCTGGGTCATATTGTATTACGAAGATAAATAAATTACATAAATATAAAAATAAACAGACAAATTATTTACTTCTATATACATATACACACAGACACACACACACACACACATATATATATATATATATATGTATGTATGTATGTATGTATGTATGTATGTATGACTGTATGTATGTATAACTGTATGTATGTATGTATGTATGTATGTATGTATGTATGACTGTATGTACGTATGTATGTATGTGTATATATATATATATATATCTATCCATCTATCTATCATCGGCTGTTTTCTCTTGCGGGCAATTCAACCTTTACCAGGGACCGCCGCGCCTCCATTGGTGAGCTGACAAGCTGCACAAAGCCATTGGGACTCAGTTGCACAAACGTTCAGCCAAGACTTTGGAGTCTGCACCGCAAAGGCTACAAGCGCATTGGTGGTCCCCTCGAGGGTGTTGGGGGGGATGTTTGGGGTGTGCCGAGCCCAGCACATCCACACCTTGGGAAAAGTTTGTGGTCTTTCGCGTCTCGCCACAGCAGTCACATGGACGCACCTGGCACCATGGCAAGAGAACACCACGGAAACATATATATATATATACAGTCATATTCATAAATCTATATACACATATATGTATGTATATGAAGAGCTTTTTGCCAGCTCTGAACTTCCGCCTCTGTGACCGGAACTGCTGGCTCCTTGTCTGCCCCGTCTGGGGGACCTCAGGTTGCGCTTCTAGACTCGCTCTCTCTTGCCTTTCGCTTTCTAAATCTTTTGTTGCCATGTACCCCAGTAATCTTGTGCAATCTTGTTATGGGGCCGTGTTGGTTGAAGGGGCAACGCTGGGTAGTGCTAGATGCCGTGCCACTGCACTGCAAGACCCGCAGCCAAAAGCAATCAGGTCACGTGGAGAGTTGCTGCGCTCCTGCACATCAAGATGCCACCACCGCTCAGAGCTGCTAAGCAAGCCGCGAGTTGCTGCACTCTCTGCAGGTTTAGGGTTTAGGGTTCAGGGCTCCCACTTTCATGGAATCCCCTCCAAAGCGCTTGCCGAGGGGTCCTCGAGCCGCGCTCGAGTGGCAGCCTTTGACAATGCAGCTCAAGACAGCCAACGACAGCACAGAGCTCGACTGCCCACACTCTCAACGTTCTGTGGCGGCAAAAAAGGCTCCTGAAATCTTCGGATGCACACACATATACACACATATATGTATATATACTTCTATATACATACATATTATATTTTGGAATTTATGATTACCATCATTACGATGAGTGCATATTACCCACAGGACGATGAGCACTGCACAAGGCTCAACACCCCAAAGAAACCGCAATTGCCCCAAAGAAACCCGCAATTGCCCCAAGGAAAACCGCAGCGGTACCGACCCCATGCAAGGACACGAAATTAGGGCGCAGAACAGCGTAGACCCAGGGATGAGACCCCAAGCAGAAGCGTAGACACCGAAGCTCTGGCGTGCCCTTGATTTCTCAACAGAAACCTGGTTTACCACCCTAAGAGATGCCAGTGTTCTGGTTCCCTAGCATATATACATATACATACCATCTTGACTCCCTCATGAGCTGCATGTGCCCTCTTTGCGCGCCTTTTTCAAACGTCGTGGCTTGACCACCGCCCCGGCGTCCGTGCTCGCAGTGGGCTCCGGTGGCTCCTCGGGCTTGTACTTGTCTTCACCTGGCGATAAGTACTTGAACACCTTGTCAGGGGAACGCAAGCGCCTTCCAAAAAAAAAGTGCAGAGCAATATGGCCTTTCTTCTTCGAGTCTGTGGAGCCTCCTGACCTAAGGGGCCGGGGCTCTATGCAAATGCTGAAGTGACGCGGGCAAAGCTACTTCCGAGGCCCGTGCCCCATCGCCCCCCCGAGCCTGGCGCCCAGAGACGCCCGGCCCCCCACAGAAGCTTGAGAAGGCGCAGATAGGCACGGCCGGATTTGGGCAACTGTGTGGTGTTTCATCATACCCCCAAACCCCCAAAACCCTTCAAGAGCGCTTCTGAGGAAGAGCTATTCGCCCTGTGGACTCAGAACAGTTCTCCCCTCCTCGGTGTCTTACCGGCGTTCTGGGCTTACACCTTACGGATCGCCTTCTCTCCAAACACAGTGGAATCCAGCCTGCTCAAGCTCCTATGTTCCTAGATCCAGAAGGCTGCCCCGAAAGGGACTGCACCAAAAGAAGTACGGGCCCCCAACCAGGATGCATATATGCGATCTTCCATGCTAGGTCAGGTCATGGTCGCCCCTGCTCAGGCTGCAAGAAATAATTGGAAAGGCAGGCGTGGCAGAACAAGTCTGTCTGACGATGTCTCACGGCAGCAAGCTTGCACGACTTTTTCTTGCCGCGCCACTGGCGCGCTGCAGATCTGCGTCCTCGTGGATGATCAGGCAACGGCCAACCGCGTTCGCTGGTCACAGGCTGATGTTGGCACGCGGTGCGGATGGGCCCGGGGGCGCCTTGCCTACGTGGCTCGTGGGGACTGGCATGCGATGACGCATCTCACGCTCACTTCTCGAGATGGATGTAGCCACAGTATCGCAGCACCTCTGCACGGATCTAATAGGCTTGCAGCATCAAGCGGCGCAAAACCCACCGGAAGCCTAAAGCTACAGGAACCACATGGTTGTTTCTGCCGCTGAGCTCCGCACGCGAAGCAGCCTGCACTAGTCACTAGCCCCAGTCTGGGTGCAATCGAGCAATTCAAGCAGAAATCTTCCGGTTGTTTCCGCCTTGACACTTGTGCCCAGCTGGACTTTGAGGCGCTGAGCAGCTCCTGCCACGCTGCAAGATTTCAGGGAAGAGCATGGTATGCACACAGGAACCCGTAGCTGGCCGCTCCTTAGCCGTGAAGTGACTCGGAGCGGGGGCTTTTTGGGCACCTCATGGTGCTCAACCCGCTACCGCCGAGCACGTAGCCGAATGCGGTGTGCTGGTTGGTTCTCCCCTTGACGTGCCACTTGAGACTGCTCGCGTCTCCTCCTAAAAAAAAAGGCCTCCCCTGAGAATGAGAGCCCCAAAAATGTTTCCTCCACCTCCTCGACTGCCCCAACCTGTTCGCTGACGGCATTCGGCCCGACTCTCGAATAACCCATCTTGTTTGCGCATTCTGCGCACAAGCCTGCTGGTTTTCTCTAGCATCGTGTTCTGACGCAGGCTCTCTGTTCGCAACCATGTGTATGAATGCCTCGGTGCAGCCGCATCTGCTTTTGCAGAGGATCCGAGCTGGCTCTTCTCGCTGCAGCTTTGCCGAGACCACTTGGCAGAGGCCATCTCTTTGATTCTGAGTGCAACGCACTTGCAGGCCCCTGAAGACGCACAAACATCATCGCAACCCACCGTGCAGCAAAGCAAAAGCGTTTCAGCACCTCAAACCCTGGAAAGGCTGGGGAATCTGGCGAACACCAAAAAGAAAAAACACACGACACAAAGCACGAAAGTGGCGAAGGAGGGGTGATGAAGGAGGGGTGCTTCGAGTGCTGCATAGTTTGCTGCGCCACACCAAGCCCCCTAAACCCGAAACCCTAAACCCGAAACCCTAAACCCTAAACCCTTTTGACCTCCGATTCTCCGATTTTCTGAGCTCCCGGGCGCGCGGCGAGCTGCCGCCGCCCCAGCCAGGCCATGGCCTGGTGGAGCGCTTTCGGGGCCACCAGCACCACGCGGAGCCAGGAGCCGATGTCCTTTTCAGCTTCTATGGGTCAAATTTTGTTCTGGGGAAGGCACGAGGCCTGTGATCTATAAGTACCACTACTACAATACTAAACTATGATGTTTGCCTATTCATACATTCTCATTCGTTTGCATGATTATCTTCATGAGCACACTCTGAGCGGACCTCGTTGCCGAAGTTGACGTGCAAGGCGTAGCGCTTCGCAGTCTTGGACGGGGCCTCCTTTTTTCTTCTCCCTAAGCGCTTTTTTGCAATGGGCTTCTGGAGATTCTCGCCTAGTCTCCCCAAACCCCCAACCCTAAACCCTAAACCCTTGTATCCCTAAACCCTAAACCCTAAACCCTAAACCCTAAACCCTAAACCCTAAACCCAACAACCCCAAAGGGTTCCTATAGAGTCCCGCAAGCCTCGCCTCAGAGTCGGAGTCGGGTTCCACAAGCTCCACGAGGCTGCTGAGCGCACCGAAGCGGAAGGAATTCGTCTGCCTCGCGACTGCACCCCTGCCGTAGGGTTTAGGGTTTAGGGTTTTTTCTTCGCCCCGCGGGTTTAGGGTTTAGGGCTTAGGGGTTTAGGAGTTAGGGTTTTGGGTTTAGGGTTTAGGGTTTAGGGCTTTAGGGGAGGTTAGGGGCCTTAGGGTTTAGGGAGCTTAGGAGCCAGAGGGTTGAGGGGCCGTAGAGTTTTAGGGTTTAGGGTTTAGCGTTTAGGGGCCAAAGGGCTCCATACTCTTCCGTTTCGTCGCTCACACTCGGACGACCCGGGCGAGTAGTTCTAGGGCTACCTCTCTCAGTAAGGGTTCAAGGTTTCGGGTTCCGGGTTTCGGGGGTATAAGGAGCCAGGCCATGGTGGCCATCTTCTTCCTTTTCTAAGAGGAGCACTGTTGGCAGCAACTTGGGCAACGCTGAAGCCGATGTCGCACAAGCATAATCGACGAAAGTATTGATTCTGGATGAAGCCGCACTATTGACAATCAAAAATATCCTGGATGTGATTGATCAAGAAAAATAAACATGCATTAGATGCAAGTGAATTAGCACATCGTGCGTTTACAGATGAGTATGCAGATGACCCAATTGCAGAGTCAGTAGTTTCAGAATTCATACAAATGCTTTAACTTATTGTTGCTATACTTGCTAAATGCATTTTATATATATATACATATACGACATGACTCTGCAGCAACAGTTCGAGGATCCATTGACAGCATGCAGGTCATACAATAAAGTTAATCTCTGCATGTGTGCGTGTGATATTTATATTCAAAAAACACATTAAAGATAGAAGTTAGAACATTATATTCAACTGATTGAATAAAACGGTATTAGTCAAGCTATGGAAGTATAAGCATATCAATCAAGTTTTTGTTTTGAAACATGAATCGAATTTCAAATGAAGTTCATACATGTAACAATATCATGAATAAATATCTCAAATGCGCCAAACTGAATTACAAATGCTTCAACTTGGCCTGAATAAAGCGCTTGCTGCCGCCCCGCTGCAGACCACAGTTTCTACGCTTGAACTTGACATGGCATACATCGACTACGGGGATCACCTGGCGCAGGACGCCACAGATCCCAGGAAACCCTTAACCCTAAACCCGTTTTTTGCATCGGGACTCCTGTGGGTGCTGGCCCAAAGCACAGGCTTGCAGTGCTACTGGCTGGACTCAAACCCTAAACCCTAAACCCTAAACCCTAAACCCTAAACGCTAAACACTAAACCCTCGAGTGCTCGCCCAGCTGCGCAACGTGGAGGTCAGCACCGAGCTCCGACTTGCCGAGGTGGATGCGCGAGGGCAGCCTCGCGCAAGCAGGGCACTCAGTTCAAGCACTTGGGATGCCGCCATTTCTCCCTAAACCCTAAACTCTAAGCCCTAAACCCTAAGCCCTAAACCCCCTACACCCTAAACCCTTGTTTGACCCAGGACTGCTGAAGCAAACCCTAAACCCATCCGTTGATGCGCGCCTGGGCAGTTCAACCATAGCTGGGGGTAGCAAGTCTTCAGCCGTCAACGCGCTGAGGTACCGCTTTGCTTCCTTCAGCCGCTGGTTCACCTTGGAGACTTTGCGTTGAGAAAACGAGATCTTCAAAGCGCCAACAGCGCGTGCATCCTTGCGTCATGGCAGTTTAAAATGTTCAACAGCCTGCCGAAAAAGCCCAACGGCCCGTCCCTTCCGAGGACCTTTGCAATAACAACCTCCTCTGGCATGCCTTGGGATGTTACCCCCCTTATACTAACAGCTCCCTAGGTTTGGGCCCTGCTTTGGGCCCTCGTTTCCGCTGCCGCAGTGACAACACCTAATTCTGGATTCTACTGACTATACTAAGGGAGGGGGAACATCCCAAAAAGCATGCTGCGTCAGTCAGTCCGAGGCTCCTCTTGGCGCCGACGTGCTGGATCCATGCGGTCCAAGCCGACCAGAGGCTGTCGCAAAGTGGCCGAAGCCCAGAAAAGCTGATGCATGGCGTCGCCAACCTTTTGGTGGCATTTCGGGCCTCTATGGTTCGCTGAAGGCCACCACCCAGGGTTTAGGATTTAGGGTTTAGGGTTTAGGGTTTAGGGCTACGTCTCAGCCACGTGTGTTCTTTTCCTTGTCAGACTGAGAACATGGGACCTGTGACCTAGCAATTTTGCGCCTTGCTTAAGAGCATGAGTGCCCTGGGGTAACGGGCCAAAGAGAAGGCAGCGGAAGTCGGGCAGGGTTGCTCAGGCTTGCTCCATTTCGTAGCTCTAACTTTGCCCCCCCCTGGGCTACCACCGCAAGGACCTTCTGCCATGGCACCAAATCAGCCCAGGTGGCGAAGGAGAGGGACACATTAATGGAGATGCTCTCTTCCTCTGCGGCTCAGGTTTCTTTTGATTGCAGCTTCAGCCAGCGTAGATTCCGAAGCTAGTGAGCATCTGGCACCACTCCCAAAAATAACGCCCACTCCCCATGACATGCTACTCCCAGCACTGTTCGACAAGTCTCGCCCAAGCATTCGACGTGATGCCAAATCCCAGCGGGATGATACAGCACCGCCCCTTCATGCAGCTCCACTTCTTCTGCATCTGCAAAGAATTCGTCCGGCGGCCGGTAATCCGCTTGGGTCGGATCCTGGGTCATGTGCACAGGCAGCCATTGGAGTGGTGCCCACCTTACCCCCCAAAAAAAACCTCATTGCTCCAGTGCGTGGAGTCTTCGCTCAGCAGGTGGAGCTTCATCTGCTGCTCGAAGTTGGAACGCGTCCTCACTTCTGAACTCGAGGTTGTGGCATCCGCCCTAAACCCTAAACCCTAAACCCTTAACCCTACACCCTTTTTGCCCAAACGCACCTCTAGCCAGCTAAACCACCAGCTACAGCTCGGGCTCGGGCTGGAAGTGCGGCGTCAAGGCACGGACGTTGTTCTTCACAGGCCCCGCTTTGAAGCGCCAGCGCTTGGCTCCCCTGGCACGATGTGCAGTATCTAAGGACCTATATACATAAATAAATAAATAAATAAATAAATGCTACATAAATAAATGCTACGCTCCTGTCATCGCGTGCTCTCGTAGACTGATGTGATCCCGGCCTCAGCTGGAAGGTGAAGTTGTGCTGGAAGTCAGTGTGCCACCCTGGCAGACAGACAAAACCATATATATATATATATACATATATATATATATATTAAATATAAATATAAATATAAAGTTAAATATAAATAAATATATAAATATAGATACAAATATATATATATATATATATATATATATATATATATATCATAGCGGCAGACTGGCCGTGGAGAAGACATACGAAGGCCGAAACCAACCCGGATTCTGCTGAGGCGCCAGTCACGTGGCCCTCCGAAGCGACAAAGGTTTCGATCTCACCGCGGGGCCGGCCATCACCTTCGTAGCTCCACCCTAAACCCTGCACCCTGAACCGTACATAAGCCCTAAATCCTAAACTTGTCCTAAATAAACCCTGGCTGAGCATTTATAGCTTTCCGGGGCACCCTGTTAGGGAGCAGATGGGAGCAGATGGCGCCCGCCTGGATACATTCCGGCCGCGCCCGCGCCGAGGCCGCTGCAAATTCGAGAGACCAGCAGGTTCCTGGGAATCACCGAAAAGGAAGGGTTGAGGGTTTCCCGGTGGAGGTTTTGGGGCGTTTAGGTGTTTTAGGGTTTCTGGGCTTTGGGGTTTTAGGGCTTTAGGGTTTGAGGGTTTTAGGGTTTGAGGGGTTTAGGGTTTTTGGGTTTTTGTCCCCCTCCTGCACAGCTTTGGCGAATCCACGTCGCAGGGGTTACTTCGCGGATCTAGACTTACACACGTTCAGGTTGCAACTTCACTATAACCAGGCTCACAAGAACTACAACTTGGGATGTTCCCCCTTATACTCACAGCCTCACAGTCCTTAACGGGGATGATAGTGCACCCCTATCAAGATCGCCATTAGGGACTGTTCGTCTAAGGGGGAACATCCCAAACTACCCAGGCTCACAAACCACTTTATTCGTCCGCTCAAAAAGACTTCAGTTGCTGGACAGGGCTTTTTCCGCTGAGCCTACCATGACTATTAGTGCACGATAGCTTCTTCAATCGGTTTTAGGGCTTCGGTTTAGGGATTAGGGGTTTCGAGGTTTAGGGTTTAGGGAACATCTGGGAGATTCTCATTTTAAATGAGGGTCCCTGTCGTACTATTCTAAGGCGCCCCCCCCCCCCCCACTTATTTTGGATACCCAAAACGGGACCATCAGTTTGACAACTGGCCATCGTTTAGAGCTGCTCACAAACAAATCTTCAGGAGGAAAACCCTAAACCCTAAACTTATAAACCCTAAACATCCCTAAACCCTACACCCTCAACCCCTCGTCTCAGCTCACAGTTGGAGACTCGTAGTTACGGGGGTTTGTGGTATTCGGGGGCACCTTATTGGGGTCAGGATGAGGATCTTTATCTGGGGTCCCCCTTAGTTCGTAAATTCCCACATGCAACTCAACACCCTATCTCAAAGCCCACGTGTCTCCAAATCTTCGTTGGCGCGGAAGTAGAGCGCCGCTCGGGCCGCGCGGAGGCCCAGGGCGGCCGCAGCATCCACGCCGACGCTGCGGACGCCGCGCGCCTCTCGGAGAGGCCGCGTGTGGCGCATTTTGGGAGTTTTTGTAAGTAGGGGTAATTAGCCTTCTTTGGGGTTCCTTCAAAAAAGGAGTATTTCTCCCTACTTAACTTGGGGAACCCCCATTTGTCTCAACGGCTCAGGAAGCTCAGCCCAGAGATGTCCTGGGGAACGTGACACACTGCAACATGGAACCACGTACGGCTGAGTTCCACACGGAGCTCGAAGAGCTGCTTGCGGTCTGACCTGCTGGGATGTGACCGCGCGCCTTCTTGCAGCAACTGGTTAGAACTTTACCCACGAGTGCTCTACAGTGCAGGTAAGCAGCCATCCCTGAGCCAGGCATGTACCTAAGCTGCAGAGACTCGGCCCCATCCCCCAACCGGTCATTGTGTACGATACGAAATCGTTTCTTTTTGTTTCTTTATTCTTGCAATGCCTATTAAGCGGTGCTGTCGATTGTCAAGTAGTTGACCATGCTAGTCTGCCTGAGGATGATGGGCCGACTGCCCTCATGAAGCAGTAGCTTGACCCCGCCAGGACTCATGACTACCGTACTGCCAAGAGCAGCCAAGCAGCCACATCACTCGGGCTCTCTTGCAACATGGCCTGCTTCGACGAACCAGCCGGTGTTCTACGACTGCAAGACCGTAAGAGGCGTTGGGCCTCCAGGTCCAAGTCCGACAAGCGAGCCGCAATGGGTGCCAAACGGCGCGGGTGACCATGCACCTCTGCGAGACTGGGACGAACTTCTTTTATGCGATCTTTAAGTAAGCTGGGGAGTTGAGAAAAAATCCCTGAGCCCCGTGCAGCCACGGCCTTCTCGGCCCAGCAGTGCTTCAGGAACTCTTCTCGCGACAAGGGCGCAAGCAACCTGCAATTTTATCTCCAACCAAGGGAATGCTTGATGATGCTTGAAGATTCAAGTGCGCGAATGGCCAGTCTAAGCTGTCACTTCTTCCAACATGTCCGGAGGCCTCGCCACCAACTCCTCCGGTTCAAGCGATGGGTCCACGGCTGCACCGCGGCGGCATTCGAAGCTAAGAAGAACTCGGCAGCACGTAAACACGCTCGCTCGCATCTCGCACGAAGCCTATAGAGGACTGCAGCTGAAAAGGGGCCCAGGGCCCCCCCTCTTGCACAACTTGCACAGGATCCTCTTTGCAGTCGAGCTGCGCTTGTCACTGGAGATGCTCGAGGCTGCTGGCTTGTCGTCCAGCCTCTCAGGGTTGCGCGCTGCGAGGGGGCTTCCGGAATATGCATCCTGAAAGCATACGCCATGTATCACCAGGCGTGTGCATTAGGGAGAAGCGACGACTGCTGATGCTTCCTCAAGGATCAGCCTACTGAACGCCGCCGCCGTTGCAACCTAGCTGTCTCAGTGCCTGGTTCGCTGTCGCTTGCTTCCACATGTGGCAGCGGCTGGACGCTTGGCCATGGCGATACTGTGTTGGCTTTAGTGTTCAGGGATATTTCGGGCTCTCACCATTGAGGTACCCGTTGCAGCACTCTTGAAGAATGCCCCGTGCTTCGCGAAGGACATGACTCTTGCGGCTGGTGTTTCTTTGGGGGCTAGCTTTGGGGGTTTTCTTAGACCCCTTGACCACTTCGTGACATTGGGGTCGCATCTGAGTTTGCCCCCCCCCCCACTCTCGCTGCATCGATAACTGAAGTGTATAAGGCCGGTTTGATCCGCCACCCGCACAACGTGAGGGTTTAGGGCTTGGGGTTTTGGTTTGGGTTTGAACTGTGGCAACCCTCCATGATAGTCTCTCGCCTTGCAGCCAAGAAGTTGATGATTTGCAGCAAGTGTCAGCAGGTGCAGCATGATGAAGCTGTGCCCAGAGAAGGCCGCAGCCAAAGCTACCATCAAGCTAAATGCTAGAGTTTGGGAAGGTCACCCTTCTACAAGCAGTCCTTCATGGGGATCCTGGCACCCCCTATTAAAATCACTATTAAGGACTGTTAGTTTAAGGGGATCCCAATTCTAGAGTCGAGAGCCTGCTCAAAGGGCACGCAGTGCGCTGACTCAACGATGGCTTTTCCCACTCGGTTGGTGCGAAAGATCTCCAGGCCTCGTCTCACATGTGCGCCTTGACCGCGCACAAAGACTTTGCCGGGAAGCCCTGGCAAATTTGCCGGCACTTCACCGCAAGACTTTGTAGGGCATTCTGTGCAAGAGATCGCAACTGACCAGACTGAGTTCTCGCGCGAAATGCGCCCTGTGTCCTGAGAAGCCTTGCAGCCCCACAACGATCCCTGATCTTACAAACAGCAATCCTAACCATCGTCGAGGCGTGTAAAAGATGTTTGCAGTCCTCCTCGCCTGGAACACAGTTCTCAGAGTCCTTGTGCCTCCGTCCACGACAGGACTTGCAACTCCTGGGCTGCGAGAAAAGCTGCAAGTGAAAAACCACGTCCATGCTACGATCCTTGCTGCCAGAGCCGTGCTTTCTCGCAGCTACCACTTTGACTCTTTTGTGACTTGTCCATGCTTCTCTCAGCTACACTTGCGTCCACTTGCCGACCCGCCCTTGGGACCGCCTGCAAGTCATCTACGACTGCCTCGTCCGGCTTGCTTTTTGTCTAGACACGGGGGCACTCACAAATGACGCGTCGCTATCGGCGTTAAGGGTTTAGATCTGGCCCCTGGTGCGATGTTTGCGAAAAACTTCTATGACACCAGCCCAAGACCAGGGCCGGAAGCTCCCAAGACCACCCCCGCTCAGGCCGACATGCACACGGCAGTCGGGAGCACAGATTTTGGCCAAAATGCGCAACGGACTGTGGAGGGAGCACGATTTTGTCCGACATGGGCACAGGACAGTGGCGGGAGCATGGAGTTTGGTGTCTCGGCGCCGCTCCCACTCCCCAGAAACGCCCTTCAACAGCGAAGCCCGCACTTGAAGCGACCAAAATGTGCCCTTTCTGTGGGTCGGTTGCGATTTCCTCGAGACCTGCGACTACACAGGTGCGCCTTAACAAAACGTCGAACAGCCTCATGGGGGGACGATGCTGGGGTCAGATGCGCCTTCTACCTCTTACAAAAGCCAGGAGGCCAGCTCGTCACCATCCTTCAAGCCCAGGGCTGCCAGTTGCTGGGACTCAGGCTCCAGCCTGCGGCGCTGCGAGTCATGTGCTAGTGGTAGAAGTAAGAATTGTTGGTGTCGTGGTAGTAAGCAAGTAGTCGTCAGTAAGTAGTAGTTAGGAAGTAGGAAGTAGGGAGTAGCAAGTAGAAAGTAGTACGTAGTAACTAGTAAGTGTAGGCAGTAGTGCGTAGAAGTAGTGACTAGTGAGAGTAGTGAGAGTAGTGACGAGACTAATGGGAGTAGTGAGAGTAGTGAGAGTAGTGAGTAGTCAGTAGACACTAGTCAGTTGTCACTCGTCGGTAGTAAGTAGCAAGTGCTAAGTAGCTAGTAGTTAGTACCTAGCAGCTAGCAGTTAGTAGTTAAAGGCAAGTAGTTGGCCGTTAGCAGGTGGCAGTTGTTGCAGTAGTATATTCATAGCAACAAGAGTACGGAGAGCCACTGTCGTAGCAACTGTCGTGAGAATCAAAGAAGTACTTGCAATGGTAGCAATGGACAAGAACCACAAAAACAACTCAAAGCAACAGAAATCTGGCAATCTGGCCAGCCCCCTGACTCTTTGTTTGTTGAACTTCCGGGGGGCCTTTTCTCCGTGCGGAGCAGCGTCAGCCTTTGCTGCGGGACTGGAAGGTCGACCACAGCTTGCTCCAAGGCCTTCTTCAGGTCCAAGACGGTTTGCAGACCTCGGGAAAATAAATCGGGGGTAACGGCGCCTTAAGTCCTTGAATCCTACTAGGAAGTTCAGGCCAAAGAGCCGCTCAGGTCCAACTTGTACTCATTTCCGACCAAGTCCTGGACTAGCAGGGGGGGATTTGAGTCCTCTGGCACCCTGACTGAGCTGGAGCAGCTTAGGGCAGGGTCCTTCACCAGAATGGACATGTGGTTGGAGCGGCCCGTTGCCGAGGCTAGCTTCACCAGGCTTTTGAGCCCTACTGGCAGAAGCAGACGATGAAACAAAGGGCCCCACACGCACATGCTGGGGCTCAAGGGATGTGACGGCATGGTAGCACCACGCTTTTTCCCACGTTGAGATGCAGGTGCGAATCATTCACATCCCGCGACCTATGCAAAGCTTGGAGTGATGGCGCTCAGCAGGCCGGGTAAATCATCCACATGTACCTGCGCATCACGGTGCGCGAGCGGGGATGAGCGGGGCTGCACCTTCGTCAGGATCTCGGCTGCGCACGTTGTGGCCAGCGTTCTCAAGCGTCACCACCTGCACTCCCTGCACAGAGTCAGGTGGAGCCTATGGTCTGCGGCAGTCGAGGCAAGTAGCCATGGAGCCTCGTGGCATTGCTTTAGTCGCTCCAGATTTTCAGGGCCCCAGCTCTGCCTGGGCTCATGTGATGCGGCCCTAGAGCCAAAGCTGGGAATGAGCAGCTCTCTCTTCCCTTAAGATGTCTCAATTGATGTCTCTTGGCCTCGCCTGTTGCGCCCTGCCACCACGACACCGATTTCCTCGGTACAATGTGTAACAGTACGCATCACAACGTGAAGCCTGGCTTCAAGCCATGGCACGTCAACTCTGAACGCGGCCAAGACTCGGCATTGCCCTTCTGGAGCAAGTCCCACATGTCAGTGCTACGGTAAGCTTCATACAGCTCGCGCACTGCCTGCATGTCGTAGCTCAGCGCCACTCCATCCCTAAGCAGGTTCGCATCTGAAGCCCAACACTTCCTTCCCTCCTCGGGGTTCTGCCACAAATTTGTGCTGAGGTCCCATCGGAACCTGGCGAACAGATTGAGCCTCAGGTTCTGCAGGTCACGCAGGCTCGAACGACTAGGGAAGCGGCCACATCATTCGAATCATGCACACCGATGGTTAGCGCATCTTGCGGGGCTTGCAGGCTTCCGTTACACTTCTGTAAGCCTGCGGCTATCCACTCTGCCACAGGTTGCGTGAGGCCATACTCGGCTTGCAGTACTGCAACGAGATCCTCGGAGGGAACAATTGGAAACAGCAACTCTCTACGGTGGACGCACATGAGGCATTCTTGCAGCCGTCTGTGCACCGCCAGTGGCCGCATCTTTGGGAGGCTTCGAGCTTGGAAACTCTACGAAAGAAGCGACATTTGGTTTTTATGGCAGGAGCATGGGTGGCATCTCGAACGGAGCTGCGAATCACCTGCTATAGTCCACATCCTCTAGAAACATGGATGCTTCTTGCGACGTTGCGGAACCTCGCCTAGGCCAGCACAGCCAAGCTTCGCCACGGCTGTCGAAACGCCTTGCCGCTGCTGATGCAACAGCACCAAGAACGAAGTTCACCTCAGTGGAGAAGTTTTGTCATTGCATGATGCCATGACCCATTTGGGGGGTCTCCGAGGTCTCCGATTGCATGTTGCTTGCTGGACTTTGACGGTGTGCAGGATTTCCGTTTGGCACGACAAACAGCTCTCTTCACAGTCCCATCGCCTTCAACACAGGTTCCAAAATCAAAATCTATTGGATTCTGTTGGCCACGTGGCACTTTGCAGCCGACGCTCCTCTTCTTCAGAAGATTCTGCGGGCCGTCCTGCGCGCGGAAAACTTTGTTCTGCTACCTGCATACGTCCACCCCGGAAGCTGCCAAACTCGTGCGGGAACCCTGAGAGTTCCCTGCCACCCCCGGCACGCCCCCGAAGGCCTTCTGGGAGCCCTCAACAAGCCCACCAGAGCGCGAAGAACAAGTGCGCCAAAGGTTCTTTTTTGCGCAGTCTGCTCTGCCAGTGCAAGCCTTAGCAAAATAAAAGCAGACACAGCTTCAGGTCCAGGCCATGTCCCCCAAGGCTCCCTTTCCGCTGCTGGTTCCAGGTTTCGGGATTATGGGCTTGCGCTTCGGCTGCTTTCTCAAGCATCTCCTTCCGCGATGCCGCGGGCGCTTTCCGACCTGCAGCCCAACCCTGCGGGCTGGAACCTCCGAGGTGGATCGGCGACGGGCACGTCCCGTGGCTTGGGCCGGCCCGGATGCCAAGGTGGCGAGCGAGCGCGCGCGAATGAAAATTTACAGTTCCTATGGCGTCACGGCACACATGCTCAGTTACTTCTTTCGGGTCTCCCGGATGTCCTGGCACCGAATCGAAGATCCAAGTGCGTTTCGGGGGTCTGCCTTCGGCTGATAGGGCACGGAGCAGAGCCTCGGACTGTCCGAGGTCGCCTGAAAACGGCCTTATAAACGCCCTTTAGGGGGGTACTAGTATTGGGGGATCCTTATTATAGGGGGATCACTAAAGGTTAAAAAAACAGCCGAGGCGTGGCCTAACGTTCGCTTCTTCCTCCCGAGTGCTTGCGTAAGCCCTCCCAGATCTCAAGCGCATGCAGGGCGCCAGCGCCACCTTCCCACCAAACGAGTGGCCGCACAGCACCAGCTCAGCTTGCGAGACACCAGCAGCCTCCAGCCTCGCAGCTGGGAGATGCTGGTTTGCTTTTTCCCGCGTAGCTGGCCGAACGTTTAGGGTTTAATGTGCTTATCTAGGGTTTGTGAGGGCTTGTACACAGCGCAGTAATTACCACAGAGCCCATGTGGCTTCATCGCCATCTGTGCCACGCCACGTCTCAAGGACATCGTCCTTGCAAGCCTCCAGATTGTGGGGTGCAGATCCTGGCATGGCAGAGGCAAGAAATTATAAGAATCAATCGTCATGAGCAAAACATAATAACATAAATAGCAACAGCCAGAGCTATGATGGTTGCAAGCAAGCAAGCATGAGAAAATTGCACCCAGAATAAGAAACATTAGTTTTCGACCGTTGTTGTCGAAAAAATGCCACACTTCCTGAACTACCATCACAGCGCGCGACACTCGACATCGAACCCTCACTAGACAGGGCAAACTAGTCGTGGCGGCAAGAACAGTCACGACAAGCGTTTGCGAGATCCTGCGGGGGATCGTCCGTGGCCGCGGTGGTCCAGTTGCAGGATCCGCCACCCCTGCTCACCGATCTGCTGCAGAAGGCGCCGAGCGGGTGTGTTCCAGTTCCTTGGACCGGCTCTTTCTCTTGATCCTTGCTCTAAAGTCCCTTCAACACACCTTCATCCCAAAATGGGGGCTCCTTCTGCGGAAGAAAAAGAACGACTTTCGCCGGGCTTTCGCTTGCCCATGGCAGTGCGGTGTCTCTTCTCAGCACAACTTTCAAACCTTGAACCCCTCAACTACCGAGGCTAACCAAGCAAATCCTAAGCCCTTGTATGTAAGCCCCTGAAGGGTTTAAGGACCTAAAGCTTAGGCCTTTAGCCCAGACACGAAAGGGCCATGGGGTAATGAGATACCTTCAATTCCTGAAATGCGAGAGCGCGGGTGCCGTATCTAAGGTGTCCGAGTCCCGGCAAAACACAAGGCCCCAGACGCATAAACCCTTGTGTAGGCCTTTCTGAAACCCTACAGTCCGCAGGTCCGGGCCGTCTGAGGGAAATCTTCTCATCTTGGGCGGGTCACTGCTTACTTGGACCTTCTGAGGCCAACGCTCCTCTTTACACATCGTAATCACCCTCTGCACGTCGGAGCCCCGCTCTGCAATGCCATGGCTCGACTTTGACCCCAATATCCCATGCATCATGACCTCAGCTTGCACTTGCGCTCTTCAAGTCTTGGCATGTCTGCTGCTCCAATGTGGCCAGGTCCCTGACACAAACCTTTGGCGCCCCGCTGGGACGCTGGCCACCTCTGACAGACTCATTTGGTTCAAGAGCGAGATACAAATGTATTTAAGAGAAGTTTTGCGAACGAAGAAGGACCCACCTGTCCATGAGTGGGACAGGACCGCGAAGCCACGACGGTTGAGGGCACCCTCATGCCGCGCCAAAGCGCGGCGCGCCAGGGACGTCGCAGATGGCGCAAATGCCATCGAGTGCTTGCGAACTGGGTGATGAAAAGGAAGGGGTGGCCCTAAGCCAGGTCTGTCATATGAAGGATCGCATCTGCATGGAGGCTCTTGCGGGTTTGCATGGTCGTGGAGTCTGCAGGCGATACTGCCCCCTACCTCGAATTTGCCTTGAGAAGGCGAGGCTCCAGCAAGACGAAGAGGCCCCAACATGAGAGTAGCGATTCTCCACCGACTTTGCTTCATTGCCCCGCCGCAACCAGCCCCTTTTTTTCCCCATCTTTTTGGCGGCCTGAGATCCACGTCCGGCAAGCCCTCGCTGAAGCTTAATGGTGTCGAGAGCGGTTCGCCTCGAGCGGCAGTCATGAGAAACCCTATACCCCTACAGTGACGGCCATAACTAAAATTCAGCAACTCACTGCTCAACATACAAGACTGTGAGGAGCTCTGATGCCTAGAGCCGGCTGTGTATGCTGGGCGCGCTGCACGCAGAAGATTTCCTGCCTCGCCGCGCTGCGCCTGTGCCTGAGCCACATGGCGCAGCCGGGCGCTGTCTCCATCCGAGCAACTGAGGCTGCACTGTTGAACCAGTTTCTGTACCGGGACCAACTCTTGGCAGGGCTTGAAAATTCAACAACATGGGTTTAGGGCCTTTGAGGCTTTGTAGGGGTTTAAAGCTTTGGGCGCCGACTCGTCGCACGCCCGTCCAACTTACGCTCACGAAGACACTCGATCTCTCCAGGGTTGAAGGGTTCTGTTAAAGGGCTGTTTAAGGGGTTACCCCAAACCCCTAAACCCTAAACCCTAAACCCCTAAACCCTAAGCCCTTTCTCTTGCCACCTTATAAAGGCTCCTGAAAAGAAGCTGAGGCAGAGGCGTCGGACCGCGTCAACCGTGCGGCCATGCCGACTCGGGGCTGCTCGAGCGGCCAGGGCGGCTCGTCTGCTCCCGGACTGGGCACAAGGCAGCTGCTTTCAGGGTTGGCCCTTAGGGTTCCCTAAGGGTTTATAGGGTTTGGGGGGTTCCTTATAGGGTTTTAAAAGGGTTCATTAGGGGCTTAGGGTTTTTGTAGGGTTCTACTCAAGCCCATCAGCCCATGGTCGTGGCATAGTCTCGACATTCAGATTCGCAGGGCGCCTGGTGCTAGCAGCTGGCTGACCTCAGAACTCACAATCCTTTGGACACGTTTCCGTGGCTGCGTACGCCACGTGGCGAAGGGCAACTGACATCCAGAATAACCCTAATCCCTAAACCCCAAACCCAAAACCCCAAAGCCCTCAGCTCCCCCTGCAGTCCAAGCTTCCTTCCCTCTGACCCTGTGAGAGCTGTACCAGCAGGCCTGCATGAAGCGCTCGCCAACGAACCAAGATCTGAAAAACTAAAACAAAAAAGCCAAAACAAAACTCGGATCCCTTTCTGGCATGTAACAAAAAACCTTTAAAAAAAGGAAAAGCACAAATTCCTTCCTTGGCCCATCTGCCGGATCATGTCCGAGCCTTGGCGGGGGCCATGGGGACCACATGGGGGGGGCGGGGTAGGAGGGGTAGGGGGCGATGCGAAAAAAATGGGGTACCCCATTGTTGGGGATCCCGACAAATAGCCGTCTATATATATATATATATACATACAGAGAGAGAGAGAGAGAGAGAGATATATATATATACACATGTTTAGACGTGTACCCCTATGTTGGGAATCCCGAAGTGCGAATGAGAAAAGATGCGTCTGAACGAGCTGTCTCTGCTGGACTCCTGCTTGGAGCGATCTCACTGCGATGCCAATGCGAGGCCCCCGGCTGAAGTAGCCGCTTGCAGGCAGAGAAGAAGACTCCTCACCAGACTCCTCCACGTTCCCGAACATGCCGAAGTTCCTCATAGCACCCCCAAAGCTGCACCGCAAGAATTTCTACCGGCTTGGCCGGCCGCTGAGGAACGCACAGCCTGTCTGCTGTCTCTTCGGCATCCAGCTGGGCCTTTGCTGCACTTGCGCGACAGTCTTTAGAAAAATTGGCTGGGCAATGCTGGGCACGCAGCACAGAGGTCCTCCAAAGAGGGAACGGCCTCTGCTGAAACACGAGCCTGGAAGCAATCGCCCGTCATGGCAAATCACTCTCAAAAGCATTCAAACTCACATCGAGAATATTATATCGTGTTGTAAATAGTATAGTAATTAGATGTAATTAGTGTGTTTTTTTGTTCTTCTTATGGAGTCTTGCATAGTTGGTATGATATCCCGGGAGGGCCTCGGCGCTGGAATCGGCGTCTTTCGCCGGAGGCTTCGCCGCAGGCTTCGGAGCGCCCTCGTAGACTGGCAGCTCGATCCTGGGCTGCGGCGGTGGGTGATTAGTATAATAGTTTATCATACAAGCAATAGTACTAAATAACTAAGACTATTCATAGCACACATTCTAATGCAATTTCTAATCATGTCCTTGTTACAATAATACGAAAGTCAAGATCGCAACACGAATGAAACTGTTCTCCAGCCGCTCAGCTTCCCAGAACAGACCGCACTCCACAGCAGCAAACGTATCCAGCCCCGCTCAGACGTTCTGACGTCTGCGCATGCTCCTAGAATCCTAGAATGGTGCGCACCCCTGAATCCCTAGTGGTATGCACATCGTATACAAATACCAATATGAATACAAATACAAATATACAAATACAAATATACAAATACCAATACACAAATACAAATACAAATACAAACACAAACACAAGCACAAGCACAAACACAAACACAAACAAACACCAATACAAATACAAATACAAATATAAATGTATATAATATGTATATATATATATATATGTGCGCATATGAATGTATATATGTACATACATATACAAGCATCCGCGGAAAGAAAGCACAAAGAGGCTACCCCCAGACCCGAAATCTAAAACTTGCTCCCTTGATCACAGGTTCCAGCGCCAGCTCTTGTTCTCCTCGCGCTTCAGAACCTCAGGGCTGGCAATCATCCACAAAGCTACCCCGCTTCACCACAGCGCAGGCGATGATTAACTGGATATCTCTTGCAACTGCCCGATACGGGGATGCCGTGTCTCGCACTGAGCGACCTCCTTCCAGTCGCAAAGAGTTGCCTCAACTCTTCTTTGTTCATGACCAGCACGTTAAGGTGGACAAGTGGAGGATCTCCCGTGCCTTGCTCCCCAAGGCTTTTGAAGGGCTCGTCCAGCAGGGTCACTGTGGGCGCCTGCTCTCGTGATTCGCTTGCTTTGCAGCCATTTCAGAGGCCCGGAACCCAGGGCACTGGCGGAACCCGAAGTCATGTCGCAGGACCTCAGCGATCCGAATCCCGGATCTTCCGGCATCGCATCTTCCGCACTTGCGAATTTTGAGACGCCCGAGGCACTTCGCAGCACAGCTGACGAAAACTGCCTGCCGAGGAACCCTTCTCGCGTCCACTCGCCTTCCGGTGGCAGGGCCGCGCGGCTGTCAGGAAGGCTGTACCTCTCCCGACCGGAGTCTATCATACACTGATTATGCAAGTCTGTATATGTATAGCATATATATGTATATCTCTCTCTCGTCATGTAAGATGTACAATACGTGGCAAAGAATATATATATATATATACATATATATATATATACATGTGTGTGTGAAAAAACATTTTTGAGCCAAGCTGCATCCAGGAGCTGGTCTTGTAGGCCGCATTGATCTTCCAGAACCTCGGAGAAAGAAAGAGGAGAGAGAGAGAGAGAGAGAGAGAGAGAGTGAGGGAGGGAGTGAGGGAGGGAGAGAGAGAGAGAGGGAGGGAGGGAGGGAGGGAGAGAGAGAGGGAGAGACTGTTAGGATTTAGGGCTTAGGATTTAGGGTTTAGAGTAGCTAGGGCTTAGAATGGTTTAGGTTTTGAATGCCACCCCCCACAGGGACGTGAGAAGTGACAGGAGGCAACTTGTTCAGGGCCAAAGAACCGCTGGAAGTAGATGATGGCACCTTTGTCGGACTTAAAGAGCGGCTTGCCCTGGTGGAGACCATCGAACTTGTAGGCTCCGTTGCAGACCTGGGGGGTGAACATATATCTCTCCATATATATATATATATATATATGAATATATATATATATATGGATATCTATATACATATATGTATTCTCGTGGGGTTTGGGGTTTAGAGTCTACCTAGATATCTCTGCATCTATGTATAGAGGAGCTTGGGTCCATTTGGCGAATGGGCGCGCAGGCCTCTCGTCCACCCGACACGTTGATGGACACGATGGAGACCCTCCGTAGGGTGGCAACGATTCTCCCTTAAACACCCTTTGACTCTGAGAAAGAGAATCCTAAATATCACCCTTGAACCCATAAGGGCAAAACATAAGCTAGCTCAAGAGCCTAGCCAGCTAGTGGCTAGTGACCACTGGAGGAGCCATCGAACGCTGAGCCGTCCTCCGCTCACTCCCCAGCAGCTTGGAAGCTTGCCTCGGCCAGCAAGACACCGCAAACTCCACTAGTTTGTGACCCTAGACCCGAAGCCCTCTAAACCCTACAAACCCCCTGTAAAATCGCCTGAAAATACCAGAAACCCTGCAAACCCTGTAACCCTGCAAACCGATTTCACCTGCAAACCACCTTACAAACCGTACAAGCCGCCTTACAAACCCTCTAACCCCCTTGGGCGTCTGCGCGCCCTCCGGCTGCGAAGCCTTGGACTCATTGCTTTTCTCCTCAGCAAGCTGGGGCTACGGCGTCTGCAGTCCAAGCCTAATGGTTCTTAGTAGGGCTTAGGGTTTAGGGTTTAGGGTTTAGGGTTTAGGGTTTAGGGTTTAGGGTGGGAGGTATAAGCACCCCCCCATCATCCCCTCAGAGGGCTTTGGGGGGGGATTTTGGACACACTGCATCTCCGCGGTTGCGGCTCCTGTGGAGCAGGTCTCGGCTCCGAGACGAGAGCCTGGGACTCGGAACCTCGCAGCTCTCTTCGAGGCTGTCTTGAGGGATTTAGGGTTTAGGGTTTAGGGTTTAGGGTTTAGGGTTTAGGGTTTAGGGTCCAGGGCTTGGGGACTCGGTGGCTTTTTCGGGGAGGGACATGAATGGTATGCCCGTCTGGTCATGTCCCCACAATGAGCCACTGTGATCTAGACTGGGTCCAGACCTCTCGTCGGTCCTCGAAGGCTTATGGTTTTATAGGGTTGAGGGTTGTGACGCGCGTGCCTCGGATCGCTCTCATGAACGACTGCACCCAACGCAGGCGTAGGCCTGCGTTCTAAACTGAGTCGGTGGCACTTGCCGAATGGATCATCAAGTGGAATAGCTACCTGCCGCCAAGAATCAGACAACACATGCTTTTGGGCGGCCAGCCTGCACGTGCGCAAATACGCTCATCCGTACTTTGGGAACCCAAAAAAAGACACAACCCAATTTCAGCAAAAAACCTCCCATTCGTCATTTCTCCAGAACTTGCCACAAATAGGTGCTGAGCTACACCTAACCCTGTACGCCTTTCTTATGGCTAGGACTGCTGCGCTGCCTGCCTTGGACGACCCTAGACCCTGAAAAGATGCTTAGCTTGGAACACGCTTGAAGAGATCGGAGCCGGCCATGCTCCATCGTCAGCTCTATGCCAATTTTGCGGTTCAGCGGGAATCTCATCAGGGTTTCAGGGTTTAGGGTTTAGGGTTTGGGGTTTCAGGGTTTAGGCTTTGAAGGTTGACTGGTTAAACTGCTGTGGGTGCTTAAGGCTGTATGGGGATGAGGGCCCATGGAAGTTTTCAAGGGTTTTCCAAATCAGCCCCAAGAAAGTACAGCTTGGCTTGGTCGGAATCAGCATCCGTGAGCCTATGCCTGGAGCAGAAGCGCTTGACAACATAGGACCTTTGACCTCACAATCGCAAAGACCTGCCTGTCTTGCTGGTCTTCCTTCTGCTAGTTGGCAGTTGACATCTTGATTCTTGATTTGGCACAACGCTTCGGATCTGCACACAAAGCTTCCGGTGCCAATGCAAAGGCAAAGGTGCAGAGATGGCTGCAAACGGACAACGCAATCTTTTTCGGTGAGGAGGCCGTTCATGGCCGAGGTTTGTGCTCCAAATGTTGACGAAAAAAACGTCCAAAGGCTGTTTAGCCTTCCATTGCACATGCATTACATTCCAGCCCTGAGTGGCTGTGACACCTCCTCGCGTGTATACGAGCGTACGGCCTATTGTACGACCTACTGCCTGAGCTACCACCGAAGACAAACGAATCATATTGTAATCCCTGGAGAAGGCGTGAAACGGCTGAGAAAGCTATGACACCTCAGATATCAGTGCCCCGCTGTCATTGACAAGCCGGTTCCAGCGCGGCCCGCCTTTGTCGCCCCACTTCGCACGCTCTTTCTTCAAAGCATCCATGATACTTTGACGTAGAGCGACGGCCTCTGGATTGGACACCTGCGTATTGCGAGCATAATGGTCCACCACACGGGTTGCATCAGCCATCGCCTGATCCAGCTCCCCTAGTTCGAACAAGGCCCGAGCCCGCCTGAAGCTGGCTTTGAAGTTGGAGGGGTTGTCCATCAATGCCGCGTCCGTGTCCTTCACTACCAAGCTCCAAGCAGCATCGGCGCCGAACTGCAGAACCTCCGTGTCACCCGCCTGGATCTGGTGAGTCAGCAGCAAACTGCGATTGGAACGTAGGACCCCAAGCAAGGATTGCAAGTCTTCATTGACCTTCTCCTCAAGCGAGGCCTCTCGCGCGAGCAGCAGCTCCGCTGCACGGATCGCAGCCGTGGTGACTTGCCGGGCGGTACCAACATTTCCCTGGTTGAAATGCTCCTGTGCTGAGGCCTTGGCATCCTGGATGGCCTTCATGTCGAGGGCCACCTCCGGGGCGTCACCGAGCTTCTGCAGCCACAGCGCCGCCTGCTGCTCTGGGCTCTCAGACACCTGCTGCCCGACCTCGTCGCTCGCGAAGAGCCCATCGGAGGTTTCGACGATGAGGCTCCCGTTTTGCAACTTCACGTCGTCCTTGTAGCCTCCCATGTCGCCCGGCCGAGATGCATATCCGTCAGGTTGGGCGATGATGTCCAATGTTGGGTGTAGCTCGAGGAACTGCTTCTCACCCTCAGCGGCGCCCTGATCGGTGTTGGTTTGGCTCTTCGCCACATCCTTGTAGTAGATGGTCTTCGGTGTTCGTGATGTCTTCTTGGGGATTTCGGCCTCGTTTGCCTGAGCTGGCTGGCTCAACGACGCGTCCTCATCTCCGTAGCACGGGCGCTGGGCCATCTTCCGCTTCTGCGCCTCCATCGCCTCCTGGATCTGCTCCTCCGTGAAGCTGACAAACAGCTCCTGCACCGCCGCCCTCTTCGAGACCTCTGCAGGAGTCTTGCCATCACTGTCCTTCTGGTTTGGGTCGGCGCCATTCTCCAGCAAGAGCCTCAAAGCTGGCATCCAGCCGTGAAAGGCCGCCCGATGGAGGGGTGTCCGGCCATCCTTGGCCGCCTTGTTCGGGTCGGCACCAGCTCGCAGGAGCTGGCCCAGAACCACCGTCTGCCCCGCCATGGCAGCCTCAGACACTGCGGTGTAGCCGTTGCGGTCCGCGAAGTCGGTGTCAGCTCCCTCCTCCAGGAGCCTGGACACATCCTGGTGCCGACCAGCGGCCGCCCGCTCAATGAGCTCCTCACTCAGCTGCCGTCGCTTCGCGTGGGTGATCGCCATGGCGCTTCTTGGCACAATGACGGGATATCTGCCGATGTCTGAAGCCCATGATAAGAAGCAGAAAAAGACCTTCAGAAAACGCTATAGAGCCCTTGCTACCATGAGAGAACAAGTGGAACGCACATAGCTCGTTGCGAATGCGCTTTCTCCTTGACTCCTCGAGCATGCGGTGCGCAAGACTCAGGAACCTGCCAACTCGCTCAAGTCGCCGGCCGCCAAAAGACTTCATATGAAAGCAAGGACAAAGCTTGACCACAACGAGTTCCTCGCAAAGGAGAAGAGGGATGAGTTGAAGAAGATGAGTTCCGAAGACCTCACCATCTACTATGCTAGGACAAAGGTCACGGCCTCCAAAACGCCGGGCAGCCCCAATGCGGAGGGTCATCTACCGGATGGTCGCTGATAGACCACACCAGAACGGCTGAAGTTGGTAACCGGACCTGACTCGGAAACCAGAACGGGAAAATCGGAAACCAGGCCTGCTTCGGAAACCAGCAGGGCTAAATCAGAAACCATGTTAACGGACGATTCGGAAACTGCCAAACGGCCGATTCGGAAACCGGGAAATGGCTGATTCGGAAACCGGGAAAACGGCTGATTCGGAAATGGCAAACGACTGATTCAGGGACGCTAAAATGGCTGAAAAGGCAAAAGCTCGACATGTAAAATCTTTACTCATGCCTAGAGAGGGCAAAATCTTGACTCGTGCCTAGACAGGACGCCAGTATCGCTGACAAGCAACCCAATCACTCAACACTAAACCCCAGTGATTCAAAGTTGGGGTAGGGGCATCCTGAGGTATAGGCGTCACTTCTACGCCCTGTTCATAACCCGGAACCCCAAAACTTTCAAGCCCTAAACTCTCCCCCGACCCCCCCCCCCCCACCCATTACTTCCGAGGCGTGGAGTTCTCTCGCGATTTCCCCCCCCATCCCCCTGCCCCGATGCGCAGTTTCTGATTCGCGCGGGTTTCTGATGCGCAGTTTCTGATTTGGCCCGATTTCTGCTTAGCCGCTTCTGGATTGCGCTAGCTTCTGACTCGCAATTCTTACCTGTTTCTGATTTGCAGCTGCTGATTCATTGGCCAGTTTCTGATTGTTGGGCGATCGATGATCTCTGGCGTCGGGCTGTGACAAACGCATCGCCCTCCCCTCACCACACTTGCTTGCATATTTGCTGCTTGCACTTTTCTGTGCCATAGCGTGCGACCGCTGATTCCAGCGCCCTGGGTTGCCGAGATGTGTGTGCAGGACGGCAGGGCCCAAACCCGACGATGCCCGCCTCTCACGCTCAAACTCTCGGAAGCGAGCTTCTGCATGCCACTTATGACGACTTCTGCGTAAGCCATGACGTGACACCTGCGCAGAATCAGAAGTCAAGACTCTAAGAAGTCAAGAGCAATTTTTGTTGTCAAAGTCCACAGCTGCGCGGGCAACCGCTCTCGGGGTCTGAGTGCCGCTTTGTGCACTCACAGGCTTCTGGGCACAGATTCGCGATGGAGGAGATCAGCATGTTCCAACCGCTGCAAACAGAATCTCCTTGGAATGGTATCCCCTGAGGTAAGTTCATCGACCTGATGGCGCTGCACCCCTTCTCCTGGACATAGCGTGACATGTTCCGCAAGTGAACCAGGCGCTCTTGACCATCCCGTGTGGAAGGATCACCGTTGAAGGCGGTGAGCCAAATTGCGGGCCACGTCTGCCATGCCTGATTCCATCGAGAGCCAAAGCCTGCATCTTTGCATGGCACAGCCGCCGATGCTTCCTGCGCTTCATCCAGGCAAGCTTGCGCGCAGCCTCCGGCAAAGTTGGGACATGTCTACATAACACAATCCCCTTCGAGAACGCATGCTGAACAACGTAAAGTGCCCTTATCACACATGCTGGTCTCAGCCTGCCTAGAGAGGATACTTTGAACCATGGTAGGCGGGGATCATCGCAGCCACATGTTCTGGGACATAGCATCCGAAGCAGCCGGGCTTCTGGGCGGAGGCAGTCCGAGGCAAGGTCACTGCACGACAAGCCTCCACTTGCATTCACAGCGGTACACTATGGTACACTATGGGGCAATGGTACTGGCCGCATGTCGTTTCGGGCGGGGGGGGGGGGGGTAGGCCTATGTAAGCCCATACGTCTAGGCTAGGCCTGGCCAAGGCCTGAGCAAGGACCCAGGCTTGCTCTAGCCTGGGTCCAGGGTAGGCTAGACTAGCACGTTCTTTATCGCAAGCAAATGAGAGCAGAATGCAAAACGCAGACATCCACAAGCCAAGCCTGTTCTCGCTGGATGGCCGAGCGCAACTGCTGCAGCAGTGAGGAATCCGCTGTTTTCCCACTGCTGGCAGCCATGAAGTTGCGCCACTCCCCACTCACTTATGCTGCCGGTAGACCACCTCCCGAAATCCGATAGTGCGTGAGCAACTACCACATACTTCAGGTTCCTCCGCGAGCTTGTGTGCAGCAACTCGTCGACGGCTAAACTGCTCAAGGACAGATTTCCTCCTTGTGCAAAAGGAGCGGTGTTAATACCCACTGCCAACTGGACGTCTGCGTTCGCCTTGAGGACGAAGTCTTGGTTTCCACCACAATACGCCTGCTTCACGTCACGCATCTCTTGGCTCAGCGGATGGATCAAGCAAACGAAGGACCAGCCAAGCAGACCTGCTTACGACTGTGACGGTTCTGGCGATTAGTCTTACAGTACCACGGTATGTAAATACAGATACTCTATATTTTTATACAAATATCTATAAAAACACATATACATATACATATACATATACATATACATATACATATACATATACATATACATATACATATACATATACATATACATATACCTATACATATACATATACATATGCAGATACATATGCATATGCATATACATCTACATAGACATATGCATATGCATGTTCCATACCACAATTGTAAGTTTCTTACAAATGCTCTATTTTCCAGCCACCAGATCGACAGGACTTGAACACACTTGAACCATGCCCACCTGAGATCACGGTGTTGAGAAGTACAGATTCCAATTGGCTGGCCCAGCGACTGAAGGTCGCAGCGAATGGACTCAAGGTCTGCATTTCTACTTGAATTTGCCGTGGCATGAGTGCCGCGAACATTTTCTCGTCGATGTCCATGATCGCAGCCAGTGCCACACTGTTCACCATCAAGGATGCAATAGATGTGGTCCCTGCTAGCCACAACACGCCGGCATACAGCAGCACCGCCGCGATACATGTGCGCGCAGCTGTGACCACGAAGTACGACAAAGCACGCTGGTAAGAGATGCAGACCAAACGCCCCCCCTGCAGCTCACTTTGCTGGCCCCAAGCCACCCGGCCAACTGCCTGAGAAGTGCTGTAAATGCTTCGAAACTCCTCAAAGATGTAGAGGCACCAATGCAGAATGCACAGCATGCTAAGTAGCGGCCCCGGAGAAAGGAACGAGATGCCCTGCGCCGCGTCGAAGCCCAGGTACGACGTGATGTCGCGGACCAATGCGGCTTGTGAGTTTGCCAAAATCAATGTCTCATCATTTGCACAGACTCGAGCGACCAAGCTTGTGGGAGTACTGTCCATGTATGTAGAATCATGGCCCACGCCCAGCCGCCACTCCTGTGCAACGGCAAGTTGCGAAGCAAATGCAGTCCCACGAAATTCTGGAGACAAGATGGCAATGCAAAACAAAGTTTGCATCAGAGCATTCCCAAGCATGATGACGAACGCGATCCAAGTATCCAGAGTGCCGCAATCCAACAGGCCGATCACAAGAACAAAGTTCCAGACGGTCTCCCCGACATGAACCCGCTCACATTGCTCCTCCAACAACGGCATCGATTGCTGTTTTGGTCACTCCCTGGCGCCTCTGGAGACTACTGGCTACTGGTACAAGTGGTACAAGTATCTGCTTACATCAAAGTCTTCGCTTTTTTGGAATGCAACTGGAATGTCCTTGGCTGGCCAGGAATCCAAGGCACACGGAAAGAACGCCGCGTTTACGTCCAGGACTTGCGCCTACAAATCCAATGTCGTCATCAACAACATGTCCATGGAAAAACCCCCCAAAAGCTGGCAAGGTATAAGCGGAAAAAAACACGTGGTGAACACACACAACAGCATACAGCAGCACCACATGACGACATTGACGCAAGCACCGCCAAGCCTGCCTCGACTTGAACAAGCTTGTCATCGCTATTGGTGGCCAAGAGCCCATCCTCTTCCTTGCCTTGAACGAGGTGCGCTTCCAGCGCATTCAAGCGTGCCACGATTGGCGACAAGCGCGCCTCCAAGGCATCCTGGGTGCACCACCATTGTGATCACAAGCAACAAACATGAACTGACAAACCACCGGACACACTTCTGGCTAGGGTTACGTCAGCCCAGGTTGGCCCCGACTCAGCCCAAAAAAGCCCATCACCACCGGTAGAGATTGAAGAAGCCAATTACTAAACCAGGCCGACTGTTACTCCTGAGGGCGGCAAGGCCGACACGATCCTGACGTCCAATGACGACTGCGTGCGCAATAGTTATTTCAACATCACGAGGCCATAGGCGTTTGCTGATGCTGGCCGAAAAACATACCCGAACCTTGCGGCCTTCCTGGGAGGACAACATGGAAATCTCTCCCAGCGCACGCTCCGAAGACAAGAGCTGCTTGCAGTCAGGATTCGAACAAGTCTTTGCGAAGCTCGTTTTCCAAATGCAACAGCCCCGGATCCACTTTGGGAATGGGCATGCTTCCTGGATAGTTGTAGGTCTGCCGCTGATTGACACACTCTAACATGCCAGAGATGCCGCTGAGTACAGTCAAGGCCGAACTTGAATAATGCACGTGTGACTGGAACTGCCAACGTCCCACAATCGCTGCGCTGAGCGGAAGAACTGTCGGACTGCGGGAACCAATCAGCCCTACAATCCTAAACCTAAACCCTAAACCCTGAACCCCAAACCCTAGAATCCTGAACCCTGCACCGCGAGTTCCTCAAGCCTTAAAACCTCGGCCTTAAACCACAAACCTTAATCCTAAACCCTGAACCAATCGATGTTCTAAAGCGAGCCACGCCTCTGTCAACCACAAATCTTAAACCCTACACCGGGCCCTACATCCTCTGCTCATAGCCTTAAACCTCAACTCCTGAGCCCTATACCCCACACATCAAACCCGACACCCCAACTCTTATACCCTGCAGATTTAAGGTTTAGGGTTTAGGGACCTTCTGCCCTACTAACCTCAAAGCCTAAACCCTGCGCCCAACTCAAAACCCACAACCCCATACCCACAACCCTAACCCCAAATCCTAATCCGTGGCCTTTGCTTCTGTCGTTTGACCGTTGTTGCTGTTGGCTGCTGTCGTTTTTAACGGAGCATCTGAGCCGGGAGCTCTGGGAGCTACGCTACGGCGCCCAGAGCTGCAAGACCTCCTGTCTGGGTTTGAAGGAGATGGCTGTGGTCACATGGCTTCGTCGCTCTCGTAGGGAACCCCGTAGGTCCACTCCAAGATCTGCGAAGGCGGACCGACATGAACGGTGCAGCCTGCGAGGTGCTCCTTCTGAAAGTCGGCCGGGTCCCCGCAGAAGTGCCACGAGTAGAGCCACAAGCGGAACGTCTTCACACCCGGCGCAACGCGAAGCTTCTTCCAGTGCAAGTGATACGGGTCCTCCAGGTTCAATTGCAACTTCCTCACAGTTGTCAGCAAGTCAGTGGAGACGAGCCTGGCGACTGTGTCCATAAAAGACTCTCCAGAATCTTGGGGCTGCAACCCTGCGCCAAGACTGAAGGAGCTGAGCCTCCTGGTTTGGCCATGCTCTGTCTTGAAACAAGGGAGCTTGTATGCTTTATCTGAGTTCCACGCGCCTGAAAGAAATACGTGGCGCAGGGAAGGGTTGAGGAGTAGGCACTCGATAAACTCAAAGTTCATGAAGTAGCCGCAGAACTCCAAGACTTCAAGACGCGGCGCCCGCATGACCACTGACGGCGCCCACCCTGAAGCGGCTTCGCCATTCGTGATGAGTTCCCTGAGGTTCGGGAAGCAGGTAATCTTCTCAATGAGCGGGCCAATGTCAGGAGCACCCGAATCCCCTGTCAGTTCCAGGGCGTGCAAACTGGCAAAGTTGATGCCTCGAAGCCACTCTGGCTTGCAGCCAGCTGCTCTCGGAGTTCGAAGCAGCAAGCTGACCAGGTTTGGGTAGGATTCCACTCGCCCCAGCTGTTCCAGAAGCTCTTCCCCACCGAAACCATACTTCCTGTGATAAAGCTGCACGTGCAAGTGGCGAAGCGATCTACTGGCCGCTTGCAGCAAGGCTCCGAAGTTAGGGCCTGTGGAAGCTGGGAGTCTTACGCAACGCCACCGAAGGTTGAGCAGGATCATGCGCAAGCTTCCGGCCAGCGATGCTTCTGCTGGAATCCATGTGAGGCCGTTGAGGATGCACGCGCAGGACGGTGCATCGAAGTGTGTGGCACAGGTGTTTGCAGGTCGAAGCTCGCAAACAGCCTGCGGAGAACTCGTGAATGTTCGTCAACGCGCAAGCTGGCAAGCCATCGATTGATGCACGCGCCATTGGGGCCAAAACTTTGAAGTGTAATTACCTCGCAAAACCCCGAATGTTAGAACCCGGGAAGCAGACCCCAAATTCTAAACCTGGAACGCTCAACCCTCCAGCCCCGAACAACCAATCCCCAAACTATCTAACCTGCATCTACCCTAAACCCTACTCCCAACCTTGAACCCTACGCCGTAGGCCCTAAGCCCTACCTGAAATCGAAATCTAGCAGGCAATCCGTAAACCCCAAATTATACCGAATTAATAAACTCTAGCCCTCAAAAGATACTTGCGCACCAATTCCTTGAATCTAAACGCATGTAGCTGAAACATTCTGAGACACGAAATCCTTAGTTAAACCCTCCATACCCCCGAAGAACTTTCTACCAGGAGACGGCGCCGTGGCCGGAATCGGAGCATGGGTATATAAGGCTTTGGGACTGCTTAAGGGTTAAAAGTTTGAGGTAGTCTACCATAAGGGGGAGGAGGACGGGAGTGAACACATCGACCTTTGAGCAAAGGCCGTGGGTATGAGCCCTTCCATGACGCTTCTTTATTTTTTTTGTTGCGATTACTTCTTCTTCTACTGCTGCTGCTACTGCTGCGACTCTCCTTTGTTTACTCACCTTCCTCTGTTTGTGCCAATCTTTGTGTTTTCATTAATCTTATTATGGGTGCTATTTCTACAATGCTCAAGTTGCCACAGAGGGTGGCAAAAAAAGGGGGCAACATGCCTCTAAACACATCGAATCAGTGAGAATCGTATGAACCTTTAAGTTCAAAAATTCCCGTATTTCATTCATGCCAATGTTTCTTAAAATGGGAGACCCCCTAAATCGTCCTAAAATTAACCATTTATGGTAATAACCCAAACAATTAAGGTAACCCCCAATGTTGAGAAATCACCATAATTATACTTATTGATTCGTGGTCCATAATTCTTGCTTTCCATATCGCCAACTCCACGATGATATGCTGACATCGCCATAACCAACTGTTCAATACGATTTGCTGGGGTCTATCCGCAAACATCGCTCAATCGGGTTTTTCTTAGATAAAGACACGAAGTATTGAACCAAAGCATGATTTACCAAGGCCACGCACTTTGCCCAGCTCCAAGTTAGCATCACCTCACCGCAACAGCCCACGATTTTGCACCGCCGTGCCATCCGCAAGTGTTCCACTGCGCCGTCGCCACCATCGCCACTAAATCAGCCCTGCCACCACGCCACTTTCGATGCCCTGGGCATCGCTGCCGCGCAGCCATTTGATGAAGCCATTGAGACCCCATTGAGATCCCCAACTGTTCGCGACCCACCAGTAGCCAACGTCCTCTTCCACACCCCAACCAATGATACCTGAGGAAGACTCGGAGATTGGGCAAATTCCAAGAAAGAAACAAAAACCATTGAAAATTGCTAGGTTTCAAGTTTGTATTACAATTGCGCCCATAATGTCAATTTGGGGCCGGGGTGAGGAAAAAAAACAAAAGAATTAACACCACACGTGAAAGCACCAAGATACGCATCACATGACCTCCACAAACTCGCCCGGAAGGAACATAGACGCCACCGGTGTAGTTGACCATCGAACACGTGGCCTGTACTTGGCAACTGACTGATCCATGGTGCATGATTTCCTGCTGAATTTGGTCGCTGGGAACTTTGTACCAGCTCTTGGCTTTCAGCTTGTCTCCCCAGTAGGGAGGCTGGAAGCTGAGATTGAAACAGGAACTGAAAGCTGCAGGTGTATGAAACGTTTCAGAACAGACAGGCCTCGCAGCCCAAGTGTCATTGTGACATGGAGGAAATGAATATGGCGCACAGGTCCTGACCTTCTGACGCATGAACCCGAGTTCACGGTAGCCTGCACCACTCACCACGCCCATTTCTTTATACCATTTCCAAACAAATTCCAATTGTCCTCCACCACAACCGCCCACCCCAGGGTGAACACAAGTGGGTAGCTCGGCACCTTCGATGGTGCTGTTGCAATTGGCTAAGGGATCATCAGCAGAAAGGATGGTGTGATTGTCACCTGTGAGCACGCACAGTCGATCATTCAGGGTTGACACGCTGCCAACCGCCCAGCAGGATCCGCAACGACTTTGGTCGCGGATGTGATTGATCACTGCGCTGCACTGTGGCCATGTAGTTCTGGAATCAAAATCCTTCGGTATTTTGCCCTTTGTCGGACGAGGCGGCATTGCTTCCCCTTCCAAGTGCTTGTACAAAGGATCTCCGGGAACAATGCCTCCAAAGGACCACGGACCGAAGGATCCCGAGGGTGGAACTGAGCGAAATTGAAGAAGTCCAAACGCATCGTCTTCGCAGCTCCGGGCCTCTCGGCAGTTCGAGTCCTTGCTGCAAGCAGTTGTGACGAAAATGAACCATAGCCACATGTCGTACGTGCTGCAAGCCCAGGAACATGTAACATGTGCTTGAGCAAAATGCGTAAAAGTAAGACTTCTGTCTCTTTTTCAAACTGCGCCAGTGGGGCAAGCGATGAAGCCCAGCTTTCTGCGTTGAAGGAGCCTGGACAAAGACTCGCATTCAGGATGGCAACCCCAAGAAGCCAGGTAGCAAAGCCTATGAAAGGTTCGAGAGGTACAAGCAAGGTGGCACCATTGAGAAGGCCAACAAAGCCGGTGCAAATTGGCTCACGCACGTGAAACCGGTGTAGTCTGTCGTCGGCCGCTCTTGGGCACTGCGGTGCAGCTGGGGTGCCGCGACTAGCAAAAGTATGATAAAGTGTGCGGGCTGTGGCCCTGTACATCTTTGTATCTGTATGAACAGACAGCCGGAAAGGCCTGAACGAAGGACTTATGCCTTACACGTGGCCACGCCATCCCGGGGGCGGACAGGCCAAACAAAAGACTACGAAGACGACTACGGCTCAGGGGCACGGACTGGACCATGGGCTGCAGAGATTGCCAGACGCAAGCGGACGCCGGCTGCTGAAGCTAGTGGCCACCCTCGGGCACCCTCAGTAAGAAAGCACACAGCCTGCAAAGAGACCTGCGAGCCCATGAGTAGGTCTGCAGAAGATCGGAAGTAGGCGTCCTGTACCAAAAGCCAAGTGGGGCGGGCCCACTAGTCTGCAGTGGCGGGCTGGGCAAGAACCTCAGCGGCACTCAGGTGGGCGATGGCAGCCGCGGGCGCGGGCAGGGCCCACCGAGAAAGTACGGACCGACCATGACTGGAGCGGATGGCAACACACAACTCCTGTAGCAGCTGGTCCTGTAGAGCTGCAGCGGCAACTCCCTCACGCAAAGCAGCAGCCCGGGCAACACGAGCAAGCAGCTTGGCAGCGCCGGGCTCCCAGGCCCCCGTGTTGCTGAGCCTTGTTGGAAACGGACCCCCTGGCTGGCACATGTTTGCGCCGTGTGCAAGTGGGAGGACTTGAAGGCAGCATAGGCCGAGGCGGCCGCCAGCGGCTCCTGGCAAGCAGTGGCAAGGGTCTCGGACCGCGTGGGGCCAGTGATGGCCAGGTCGAGTGCGGTGGGAGACCCATCCCAAGCAGGCAGGTAAACGTCGGCGGGCCGGCGGGAGGCCAAGCGCACTTCGTCAGGGCGTTGGGGGAGCAAAAGGTCAGGCTTTTCGACCTCCGGTTGCAAACCAGCCCTGTCGGCCCAGGCAGCAACAAGGTTACGGGCAGCGTGGTGACATCTGGTCCTGTCTCCCCCAGCCGAGCACATGCCCGCATGTCTTGAATGGGTGTCAAGCACACCGTCGCAGCGAGGACACCACACATCGGCTGCAGCGTCAGGTATGCGCAAGCGGCGGCGCAGCTCAACAAGAAAGACTGCGGGCTCCATGCGGCAAGCACCATGGGGGATAGCAGCCAAGAATGCACGTGCACCCAGCTGTGCTTCAGAATGGAGCTCGGCACGGTCAGCAGCAGGAGCCGAGTTGAGCATTTGCCTCCACACGCCCTCATCAAGCTGCTTGGAAAACGCACGCTGTGTGGAGGCTAGAGCCTCAGAGGGGCCGATTGGGGTGGGCAGCTGCGCGTTGAGCGCGGCCAGGCTGTGACCACTCTGGCTGGTGAAGGCAGCCGGATGTAAGCTCGGGACAAGCTCAACGCACGCGTCTTTGCAGGCGGCAAGAGAGGCAAGGTAAGCCGCAGGGGCGTGGCGGGAAGCCGATTGTAGCCCGAGGCCCGCCCAAGCGCAAGCTGGTCAAACTGTGCGAGAGCGTCAACATGAGCATGGGATGGAGCGCAGCGCATGCTGTGAAGAACCCGAGCGTAGCCAGCGCAAGCACGCAGCAGTCGCAGGCCAACCTGAGGGTCGGTGAGACCTGCGATGGCCGCGAGCAGCGGCTCGGCCCGACGGCCACGCTGCAGGGTATGGTCTTGCATGAAAGCCTTGTCACCGATGGGGGCGCCCAACAATTCGCAGTTACGACAGACGCGGCTTTGGCCATCGGCCGTCCACAGGAGTTCATGCGGCAGGTGGGCTTGCAATGCGGCAGGGTCAGTGCCCCCGATAACGATGGCCTCACACTTGCTGAGGTTGAGCTGGAGTCCCAGTTCAGCAGCACGCCGTTGCGTGTGAGCAATCGCGGCGCCAACCACCGCAACAGAGCCTCCCAAAACCCCGTCGTCAAGGAAGAGGGTGGAAAGGTCGGTGGGTCCTGTGCGGAGCTCAAGAGCCAGCGGCTGCAAGGCAGCAGCAAACAGCAAGGGCCCGAGAGGGTCGCCTTGCTGGACACCACAAGTGGAGGAAAGGACGTGGTTGCCGAACTGCAGGTGGGGTCAACCCAGGCTCGGGTGGCGTGGATGGCCTTCTCGGCCCCGGCAGGGACGGCGACTCCAACTTGCGCTGGCCAGAAGAAGTCCCGGGCGCCTTCTCGCACAGCCTCAAGAAGACACTTTCCAGTCAAACGACGGAGGAGCTCCCCGACAGCAATAGGCCGAAGTCCTCCCTTCGGCTTGGGCACCGCGACGAGGCGAGCTCCAGCAAGGAAGGGGGCAACTGCCTTGCAAGCATCCCCCCGAGCAAGCAAGTTGACTAAAGCCGTCAGCTGTTCAACCAGCCCCGTCGACGACCCTGGGAGGCAGGCATCGAGCAAGTGTTGGACTCGCAAACCACGGCGCAGAGTCTTTCGGAAAAGCCTTCAGGCAACGTGACACTGTGTCTGGCGCAACCTCGCCAGCAGGCGGAAGGTGAGGTGGCAGAGCAGGAGCGGGGGCTGCGGGGTGCAAGGCACGTAACTGCTCAGCAGCTTCAGGTGTTTCAGCACACAGGCCCGAGGCGAGGAGAGCCGCGCAAGCCTTGCGGTCGAAGCCTTCCCGAGCGAGGCTCTCCGCAAGGCCTGCACGCACCTCGTCTGTGAGGGCCCCCCGAGGCGGCCGAGCAAGGTTTGTGCGAGTGTCCCACAAACTGATGCGTTCGCCTTCCTGCCAGCGGCGCAAGCGGTCCAGGGTGAATGCGGCAGTGGCTTTGCGGTGTTTGCGCCCCGTCCGGGGGGGCGCCGCCAGAACAGCCTGGGGCAGCATCAGCAACTCAGTCCAAGCCGCCACAGTGTTGAAGTGAACGGCACCAGCAATTGCCCGAGTGAGCACCTGACACCAGGCACCTTTCGCCTGAGGGGGGTGCCGCGACTGCTCTTGGGCGCACCGCGCGCAGCTGGACCACACGACTGGGGCACGGGGTAGCCAGGATAAACAAGCCCTGACGGCTGCGTGTTGCCGGGAGCCGCGGCGCCTCCCAAGGCCGCCGCAGGCCCCAGCATGCGCAGGTCTGACACGCGTGGCTTGTGGCAACGCAGGCAAAGCCGGCCGGTTGCAGCCGTGTGAGCAGCGAAAATGCCCGCGCTCGGTGGCCCGGTCGTACTCCCACCAGGTCGCCAAGCCGCAATGCCAGCGTCGTGCCGTATCGGCTGAGGCGCTGCATGTCGCGGTGCGGCATAGCGACGAAGTCGATCCCCCCCGCACCTCGCGTGGCCGCGACCCGGTTGCAACACAAAACAACGAGGCCCGGAGGCGGTGGTAGTTCGGGCGCGTCATTGGAGGTGAAGGTGCGAAGTGCATAGTCTTGCACGGCCTCCCGCACAGTCTCTTCAATAGAAATCCGGACCGGCATCTGCACACCTTGGCGCGCACATTCGTCGCGCAACGCCGCATCGTGCCGGGCCATCCATCCACCCGGCTCGCACACGGGCAGCGACTGTGGCGGCACAATGGCCGCCGCGCGCGACCTGGATGCTCCTGGTGGGGATGTCGCTCCCGACGTGACTGGCCATCCGCCGCGCTCCGCGGGCAGCCGACCGGAACCCCGCGCTGCCGCCGCGCACGCAGGGTGCCACGGGGTTTGCCTCTTTGGACGAGGTCTGCCTCGAAACCACCTTTCGTGTCCGTGCGCTGACACTGCAAACGGCCCCCCCAAGCTTGCGTGGCACCTTGCGCTCCGCGCTGCGGGCCGGCCTTCGCTCAGCCACGGCCGGGCACACGGATCACGAGCGAGTGCGCGGCTGGAAACTCTTCCTCCTAGCCCCCCGCATGTTGCTCTACCGGAAACCCGGTGTGTCGCACATTCCTGCACCTGCAGAGCTTGACCGTCGCAACCGAGCCTTCCAAGCCGGTGACAGTCTCGACCTGCTCCATGAGGCCAGCCGAACCGTACTGCCCGCACAGTGACGAGGCTGCTGCTTCATTTCTGCGGCGGTGTGGTGGACTCGGCCTGCGTTCGCAGGTGCAGATCGTCCCGCTGCGCACTGGGCTTCCTGGTGTGACACCTTTCCCGCCTTTGCCTTGGTTTCGCCGCGCCTGTGTGGCCGGCCGTCCTTGACGTCGCGGCCGCGCCCCCAGCACGAGAGGGAGGGGAATGACAATGCCTTGAGGGGCTGGCAGCGGCGAGCCGCCCGAGCATGCGATGCGCGCGTGTGAGACGCACCTTTCTGACCTTCCACCTGCGTCCCGCGCGCTGCTGCTCTCGCAGGCAGGGCCTCGCTCCGCTCGTGCTTCCACCCTGCCCGCAGGCCGTGCGCATACCCAGTGCCCAGTTCCGTGTCCTTGCGGCTGCGCCGGGCCCTCCCATTCGGGTTGCGTCACGTCGGGGGTTCTTGCCGCGCGCGCTGCGCCGCTCGAACGAGCGGTCGCGCGCGTTTGCCGCGAGGGCGGCGCTCGCGTCGCGAGGAATTGATGTGCCCGTGGTCGCCAACGGGTTCCCTCTGTGGCACGGCGCGCAACTCGCCCTCGATGCCACCCTCGTATCGCCGCTGACGCGTGCAGGGGAACCCCACCCACGGGCTGACGTCGAGCCTGGCCACGGCGTCGCCGCGGCAAGGCACGTATCCGGAACTGCTGCGGGCACGGCGCTGCCGCCTTGTCGTGGTCGGGCTTGAGGTTGGGGGGGCGCTTCGGCGCTGAAGCAGCCACCTTCCTCCGCCTGCTTGCGCGTCACCGGGCTGCGGCTGTCCCGGCGCACTTGCGACCCGCGGCCCGGGCAGAATGGATCTCCCGCTGGACTGGGCTGCTCGCAGTCGCGGCGCAGCGCTCCTTCGCCAGCTCGCTCCTTGAGCTGCCCCTGGCGAGCGAGGCCAACGCCGACGACAGCGAGCCCGAGCTTCATCAGCTCCTCGCTGACGGGTGCTGGGAACGGCCGGTCGCCGCAATCCGCCTCCCTGCCCGCTGACTCCCCCCCCGGTGACCCCCGATGCTGTGACTTTCCGGCTGGCGGAGAAAAGGTGCGAGTAAAAAAACACAAACAAAAACAAAAACAAAAACAAAGAATAGTAACATTAATCATAATAATAATAATAATAATAATAATAATAATAATAATAATAATAATAATAATAATAATAATAATAATAATAATAATAATAATAATAATAATAATAATAATAATAATAATAATAATAATAATAATAACAAGAATAACAATAAGAATATTAATAATCACGCCGGAAGACTACTTTCCATTTCGTATGGGCCAAACCCCCCACATTTAAAGAAATTTTTTGGGGGGGTTGTCAAATTTTGAAACTCTGCCTTTCGGAAAGCTTTTTTCTTCTGCAGGGATTCTATACAGTCCTATTGTTTTTTTTTTCTTCTCGCACCTTTTTCCGCCAGCTGGAAGGAGTCCCTTTGCTACGGCCGCAGGGGCAGGCGTCGTCTGCCAACGCTTGGGCTGCGGCTGCGAGCGCGCCACCACCGTAGGCCTCGAGCAAGGCGGACTGAGCGGGCGCGGAGAGGTAGCCGTCGGGCGCCGTGCACACCAGCACCGCTGCCGAGACCGGCAGCGGGGCATCCGAAGGAAGCGCGGATAGCTGCGCTGTCGCTGGCTCGAGCCCATCCGGCTCCGCGGCCAATGTGCCTACCTCAACGTTGGCGCAATCCGCGGCTGCGCGAAGAAGGCGTAGGAGCGTGGCTGGCGGCACCCCGGGGGCACGGCGCAAGGCAGCAGCGAGCTCTGCAAAGCGCGTCCCGAAGCCCGGTCCCTCCTGCCAGGCTTGCTCGGCTGCTCTCGTGAGGTGGCCGGCACCCGCGTGCAGCAAGGGCACAAAGAGCCAGGAGCAACGCTGGCCGGGCTGGACGCTCGGCGGCCGCGCATCCTGCCAAGGCAGAGCCGCGTCGAGGTGTGGGGACTGCGGAGGCGTGAAGCCTGGCGTGGCCTCGCCCGACTGCTCCGGCGCTTGTTCTCCTGGGCGAAACGACCCGATGCCTGGGACTGGCTGACGTGGGGTGGTCGCCGGTGACGCGTACGGCGTGTCCTCGTCCAGCGTGTCGGATATCGTCCCGGCAGGCGAGGGTGGCCTGTCCGGCAGCAGCCTCATTTGGGCGAGCGCGTGCAAAGCGCGGGCACGTTGGCCCCGGATGTCGGCTCCTGGATGATGGGGCACGGGCGGCGTGTCGGCGGTTCGCTCGCTGGGCGGGCCTGGGTTCGACGCTTCGCCGACACGTCGTCCACGGTGCGGGTCATGCCCCTCGCCTGCACACCTGGAACACGTCGATGCACGCTTGTGGTTGCGCGCCGGCCGAAAAGCGTGCCCGATTCGCGAGTTCGCACACGGTCCATGCCGCGCGGCGTGCAAGTGACGTGTTCCCCGTACGCGCCCCGCGTCGTCGCGGCCCCGGCTGCTTGGTGAACACACGCATGTGGGCTTGCAAAGCTCCATCCGGACTGGGGCGTGCGAGTTGGCGTGGCGAGGGACGTCCTGCGCTTGCACCTCGTCGGGCTCGGTCCTTAGCGGTCGCTCGACGGGGCCATCGCGGGTCGACTATTATTTGGGGTGAAGGAAGCAACCATGCACAACCAGCATCCAAGCAGGTCCGCCTTTTTGCGCTACTGCGCTGCGAAGTGCCTCCCGATATGGGCTTGAAATGGTGGAGTTCAGCGGTTCGGGCGGTCAGCTCGCTTGGCTCGTTGGCCGCCCGGCTGGACTCCTGCAAAAAATCATGTGGGAGTGCGGCCTCCCCCTCAGTGGCCGCTTCCACGGCCGCCCTGGCAGCTGCAGTTGCTGCCCTTTGCACCAGATCGTCCTCGCCCGAGCGATTGTTGCCGTGCCAGCCTTTTTCCGGCCGTTTGCCATGGCCCTTGCCGCCATTCTGCCTAACACCGCTTGGCCTGCCGCCGCCCGACTTGCCGCCGCCCTTGCCACGAGGCGGGCTGCGACTGCGGCGGCGAGGCTCCGCTGGTTGGTCACGCTCGGGCGTTGGGCTGCGAGACGACGGCCCATAGACCATTGCGTTGATGGCGTCGACGGTCCCGACCAAAAGTGCCAAGGTTGCCGGCACGGCCCAGGCCGGCAGATTGTTTCTGCCGTGCACCATCCGCTGTAAGCGGGCCACCTCCATGCATGGCCGGCAGCAGCGGCCTTCCACCTCAGCGGCACGGGTGTGGCAGATCTGGCATTCCATGTCTGCCATTGCCCACCAAGACTTGGCCCTAAATGAGGGATGCAGACCACGAGTGGGCGAGCCGAAAAGTGCTGCGAGGTAAAAGAACCAATCAACTGCAGCAGCGCATGCAACATGTGGCCTGCCGTGCGGTTTGCGCGGGCATCGTGCTCGGGCATCCAAGGCGTCGCTCGGCTGGGGGCCGTGCCGCTGCAAGGGCTTGGTGTGCGCATGTGGCTCGGCTGCGACAGCGGGGCGTGCCAGCCTCGGCGGCGCGGGCAGGCTGCAGCGCGAGGCTGGTCGGCGACCCGGCCAGCGGCTGCGTGTGTGAGCAACAAGGGTGTCACGGCTTGCGGGCGTCGCGGCGATCGCGGCGCGCGGGGAGCTTGGGCGCACGGTGCGGCGGGAGGGCTGGAAGATTGGGTGCATGGGGCGCCGCGGCCTCGTGCAACACCCGGCTCAGCAGCTCGGTGGGGGATTGGCCCGCTGCGGCCGCGAGTTCGGCGAGTTCCGACTCGCCCCCCGCGGCCATGCATGCGAGCACCTCCGACGCTGCGGTCGCCCAGGCTGGTGTAGGCGACCCTCTCCAGAGGAAGCGCGCCCACAAGGCAAGGACGGCGGCCGCTCCCAACAGCGCACCCAAGCACAACCAGACCCAGCAGTGTGAACAGGGCCCCCAACCGGGTGGGAAGTACTGCGGCGCGCTGCCGCCCACGAAGTAACGAGTGCGTGGACGGCCGACTCGCGGCAGGTGTTGGGCAGGCGGGCCACGTGTGGCACTGCCTGCGAGCCCCATCGGGCCGCCCACCGCAGGACGGCAAGTGCAGAAGTCCAGACCCCTGTGTCCATGGCGGGAGCCCCCGCGGGCGTGGCAAAAGGGAGGGGGGGGGCAGGTCAAGGCTTCATCTTGAGCCTTGAGCCAAAAACTTTGCTTGAGCCAAAATGGCTACGGGTCCTATTGTTTTCAATACGTTCTTATTGTTTTTTTAATAGAGAAGCCATACGGGGCCATGGTCCAACTATTGCGGAACCCTGCCTTCCTTATTGTGGGGGGGGGGGCAATTAAACAGGAGCTCGGATTAATAAAAATAATGATGATAATGATAATGACAATAATAATAATAATAAGAATAATAATAATAGTAATAATAATAATAATAATAATAATAATAATAATAATAATAATAATAATAATAATAATAATAATAATAATAATAATAATAATAATAATAATAATAATACAATTGGCAAGGTTTTCTTTTGGCAAGGTTTATCCACCGATTTTGAGACAGGTTTCCTTAAGCTGGCGATGGTCCCCGAGGTCGTCCGCAGGAGCTGCGTTCCGGGACCAACGGCAGCCAGTCCGCATCAGGCACAGCCGTGTCCGGGCCGGAGGGCGGTCAAGGTCTGAGAAAAAACGTCCCGAGCGCGCGTGAGTTGCCATTCCGTGCCGAGCGCCTGCAGTGTGTCGCCCAGGTGTCGCCGACCCTACATCCAAACACTCCCACGCGCATGGGAAACTGAGCACGCCTCGCGCTCATGTCTGGGAGCGGCACCCCATCTTCGCTTCCCGCCGGCAATAACCCCAGCTAATTGGGAATTGTTTTTTCGTTGTGTGGGGTGTTGTAATGGCATAGGTATCCTACGCATCAGCTAATGTTGGCAGGCGCGCGGCCTACGCGCAGAGTATGTTGTTGACGTGTGCCTACGCGGACCCACGCGGCAAGCGCAGACAACCTACGCGGACCTACGCGCCCATACTGCATAGACTTGCCTACGCGGACCCTACGCAAACCTACGCCGTGCAGGCATTAAATGCTACGCGGCCGACTTTCAATGATCGCGTTTCTACGTAGCCTTGCTCCTAGAAAAAAACGCTGCTCAATTGAGCGCCGTTCAGTGAAGCCCGCAGTGACGGGGGGTCAGCGTCCAGCCGGAAGACGCGGCGGCGCGCGGGCCGGCAATGCTCTGCAGGACCGCAGTCGGACCAGGCGTCGCCCCGTAGATGACCACGTCCAGGCGGCGTTTGTCCTCCGCGCGCACTGCTTCGCGCGCGACGCGCACCCACGCGCGCTCGACATCGGACGAGCAGGCCGGTTCCCGGGCAAGCGAGCGCATGGTCGCCGAGGCGGTCTACTTGTGCCCCGCAGCCGGGTGCCGGGCCGCATCTGCCGTGGCAGAGGGGGAATGGCATGCGCAGGCGACGGCAAAGCACGAGTTCCATGGTCTGGGGCGCGAGCGTCGTGGCTGTCTCGGCTGGTATGGCAGGGAGCCAGGACCCTGCGTGAGGCACCAGCGCCCGGCATCCGGCGGCATAACCGGCAGCATCATACTGTCGCGGAAATGTTGGTTGCGAGTGCGCGACGCATGAAACTGCCAGCCATGTGGCCAATCTCCCGGGCCTGTGTGGCGGAGCCGGGCGGGCTCCTTGCAAGATCTCTTGCAAGATCTCTCGCCAACCTCGGCAGGCTTCCCAGCCTTCGGCTCCTAGGAGCTCCCGGGCCTCGGCAGCAGCGCATAGCAGCGCGCGGGCTGGGGGCCATGAGCACGGCGGCGGCGGGTTGCCCAGGCTTGGATGAAATCCGGGTGCCCGACTTGGGTGCCCAGAATGATGATGCCACGCTGATCGGAGCGCAGGTCACCTCGCCAGACTTCGTCACCGCGTTCCGCGATGCCTGGTGGCGGGGGCCGCTCGCGAGCGCCCATCATTCGTGTTGTTTTGGTTTAAATTGGACCCGAAAGAACAGTGGCCGGCTACGGCCTCAACAGTAGTGTCCAACGACGTCCTGGCGCGGGGGGGGGGGGCGTCGTGGTGATGTAGATCGAAGTCCGGGGCATCGAAAACCTCGCAAAAAGAAAGCCGAATGTGATGTGTCTGCTTTTTGTGGTTGCCTTGTATATGTACGCGATGCCTCGTCTACAAAGTTTCGAAGGCTCCCCGCTTCGGTGAATTAATTAGAGAGGAGGAGAGAAGCGCATGGCACGATGCTGGCGATGTATATGCTTGAGGTGCAGTCATCCTTGTCTTCCTTTTGTTGTTTTTTTCTCGCAGCGATCGTCATCCATCCCCATAGTCCCCATATGTACAAGTGGCTCACCGAAGCGGCAGGCGGCTGGGCCCCGCGAAGTCGGCGAGCTCAAGGACATCAGCGAGGGTCCTGAGCTCGGCAGCGCCGGCATCGTCCAAACACCGAGCAACTGCCCTTTGCACGGCGACCGAGAGTCGGCCCCACCATCGTCGTGCCCACCCCTGGGCCGCTGTGGCACATAGGGTCGCAGGCGCCCTTTGAACGCGGAGGCGCAGCAGCTGGCGGACGAAGCGCTGGCACTCCTCGCCCCATCTTCCGCCCACCTCCGCCGCGAGCACGACGAGTCGTTGCGATCCGTTGCAGACCTCCCGCAGGAGCTTGGGATATCGCGCGAGCTTGCGGCGGCGCGGCCGCCAACGCGGTCCCATCACGTGCGTCGGCACCTGGGAGTGGGCGACCCGCTCGCGTCAAGGCTAGCGTCGCGTCACAACAGAGCGCCTCACCGCCCGGCGTGGCCCCGTACACCACCAAGTCCAAGCGGCGGCGATCCGCAGGCGCGACGCCAGGCGCCGTGGTCCGGGCCAGCCACTGCTGTGGCACTACTCGGCCCTCCGCCCCGACCGCCTCGCGCGCGACTTGCACGAAGCCGCGACACGGAGGCGAGCCAGTACGCGGGCAGGCGATGAAGTGGCCCCTAACGCATCGGCCTGCCCTTGGCAGCCGGGATCGCCGTCCCCGCCGCAATGCAGGGCGGTCAATGGTAGCGGCTGGCGGAGGCATGCGGAGGCGTCACCTGAGGGTCGCAGCTGCATCAGCCGGTATAGCGGCGAGCCACATGCCTGCATGATCCTGCATGCTGCCCAGACTGAGAGCGAAAGAGGGCTCGCGCATCGGGCGCCATGGCCGGCAGCAGCTCGCGTTTGCGGAAGGATGTGTGGAGTGCGAGAACAGCACGTCGCTGCCAGCCAGGGCCACCCAGCCCGAGCACCGTCTGACCTGGGCCCCGTCGGCACATGCCGCCCAGCGAGGCCGCTCGATCACCCCAACCAGCCGCGTCTAAGCGCTCCGCAGCCGCCGCCGCTGCACGCACGCAGGGCGGCGCGGCAAGCACAGGGATGCATCTCCACAATATTCCACAACGCCTTACACCGGGGGCACCGGGCTGGTAAGGGCTCGAAAGTCGTGCTCACAAAACAGCCGGCGGCACGCCCG